TCCCTGCATATCCACCGAGTTAATGCCACATCTCCATTGCGAAGACCATGACAATCATCAGTATTCATTTTCACGACTGACGGAAATCTACAAGGAGAGGAACTATCAGATGCTCTATCTCCTGAAGGAGAGTCACTTTCCTTCGAGTGGCCGTGACATGCAACGACTGCTCGACAGCTGGCCGCACGATGCAGCGGCTGGCTCCTCCAGGTGACCTTCGCCTTTTGTCGACCGTGGGACTAACGACATACGTCGTTGTGTCCCCAGCTGTACGCAAGGGCTACATGACCCTGGTCGAGACCGGGCTCAACTGGGCGGGCTGGCGGGACCTTGCTGCCTTGTCGAATAGACGCCGATAGTGCAGGCTCGGCGGCCAGAACACCTGGCAATGGTCTGGTATAGCTAAGTGGTGACGGACCTCGTGAGGCACGTCGCTTCACCTCTAGAGGAGTCTCCAGGTGATGCCGCGGCAACCGACGACATACGTCGTTGAGGTTCATTCATTATCTTTGCTGCTCTTGTTCTGGCACGACGACCGCCGGAGTCTTGTTTGGGTCGGTGTGCACTTTCGCGATGGCTGCTTTTGGCCGCTGCTTGCCTTTGCAGTGGGGGATGGGGGGGGGGCCTTGGCTGCGCTTTTCTGTGGTTGCGGCGCACCACAGTTGTCCCTGAACACAGCTGGTGCAGCTTGATTGCCAATGCACTTGGCTTTGCAATTACGTCGTCTGGTGGTGACGGACCCCCAAAGGTTGGTCGGGTCGTCTCTGACCGGCAAAGCTTTCCTTTGGAAGCCGCTGAAACCGACGACATACGTCGTTGAGGTTCTTCTCCCTCCATGCTACTCCTGAGTGGGAGCTACAACCACTGCGTGGGCCCCTGGGCCCGGTGTGCACGCTCTACTTGGGCGACCCGTTACCGGGACTTTAGGGCGATCCTTAGCTTGCGCTGCGCTGGGTTTCGACGCACAACAAGTTATTCCCACGGTCTACATCCTGCCCGGCCGTCGCGCTGTGGGCAGCGATTGGTGGCCGTCGGTCTCTTGCATCCACGACGCCACTGTTTTGCACACCGAGGATCGTTCGGTTTCGTCCTTCGGAGTGCGTTCGCATCTGGCCGGCTTTGAGTTGCCACGACTCTGGCCACCGCATCATGTCTGGAAGCCGCTCACCACAGGGAGCATTGGACTTTTGGATTTTGGTGTGCACGATCGTGACGGAACAAAACACAGGGGCTGCCCGTTGTCTGGCGAGACTAGAACGGCTGCCGGAGCTTGGTCTTGGCTCCACCTGTTGTTTTGGGCAGCTCAGAGCGACGGCTCTTTGTTGCTCCGGATCGGTCGCTGAGGCTCCGTAGCTGGGCTGAACGGCTAACACCGGCGAAGCCTGTGCGCCGCAGCCCTTGTAGAGCTTCGCTTTTTGTCTCACCGCTTTGTAGTGTTTTTGCTTAGTTTGTTGTCTGCTTGTTTGTAGGGACCGAGTGCTACAGCCGTAGTCGACGAGGCCCAGTCAAGCCAAAAAAAAAAGGGTTTTCCGGTTTGCGCCGAGTCCACGGCGGTCCCACGGTTCGCTTCTAGTTCTGGTCCCAGGCAGACGGGGTGTTGGACAGCATTAAAGCATTCCTTAGTGGCTCTTCAGCATCTTGCGTGGAAATCGCTCAGTTTCCACAAAATCTGGCGTTTTACAGGAGCACGGCGCCCAATCGTACGTGCTTTTGACGCGTTGCAGTCGGTTTGGCTGCTCTTTGCAAGGGAAAACTTGAAATCGTGACGTGTTTCGTACTAACGCACGCAGAAATATTGAGGGTTTTTTTTGGATGCACGAAGCACGTTACGATTTGGGCTTGGCTTTGCAACTATAAAATGCCCAGAACCGTTCTGTTTTGAACTGCTGTGGCGCAATGCGCATTTTCCATAAAAAATCACATTTGTCATTCTTTCTTGGTGGTTCTATTGTCGGAGAAGCCGAGTTCTCCATAAACAACACTGTGTGGGCAGCATTCTTGACCCTGCTGCGAAATGTCAAGAGCTCCAAAGCCGGACTGCTGGGCAACTTGGCGAGCCTTTTTGACTTTTTCAGCTGCTCTGCAAGCACTGCCTTGCCACGTGTCGCTAACACGGCATTCAATGTTGGATGCACGGGTCAAGTCTTCGGGTCATTTTGGGCCCCGGTCAAAAATGTGGCTTTCAGACTGAACCGGCCCGGAATGTCCAAGAAAGTATTTCTTGTTTATGTGCCGATTCAGCTGCTCTAGAACCGCCTGCCCTGCTGCGTCCGCCATATCATTAAGAGAACAGAGGATAGACACTTCTGGCGTGCACAGCATCGCGAAAGCTGCAGCTTCGATTTCTTTAGACACTTGACCAGACTGAGAGAGCCTGCGTCCGCATGGTCTTTGCAACTCAAAGCCAGCATGCATTCCAGACGAGCTAACTTCGACGTTGGCTAAGGACTGTGGGTCACCGCCAGCACTGCAGTGCTCATGCCTGCACAAGTCCTCCTCTGTGCATTTCGCTGCTTGCTTGACATCGGATCCAGAACAAGTTGTTGCGAGTTTTTGTGACGGATCGGCCGGCAGGAGAAAGGGCAGAGACAATCACATTGGCGTGCGCATTGCGGAAACTCAGTTTGGTTCGCTTTGAAGCAAGAAAGGACGTCGATAGTACTGGGACAGACTTCATGGACACACGACGACACTCTTGCGGCTTTAACAGCTCTGCACGAGCGCGCCGACGCCTTGAGAATCAGTGAAGGCTTCAGCGCAGTTTGTGGTTTTGCAACTTCACTTTGCTTGAAGGAGATTGCACAGACGGGTCGAGTTTTCTTATTCAGTGGACTGGTTTGTTTGGCTGTGCGACATGTCGTCCAGGTCCACAGTCTTCTCAAAAAGGTCGCGTTTGCTGCTGCCGTGCTGTTTTAGGTTGGCTCCAGGCCTGGACCCCTCTCTTTCGGGTCTCTTCGGTTTCGGCGTGCGCCTTCCCCCGAGCCGGGCATTCCTAAGCGCCCGCGCGGTAGGCTAGATGGTCGCGGATGCAGGCCATTCGCGGGCCGACTCGGCAGCTTGCTCTCAGGTGGCAGTGAACCTTATGTTGCAGCTTCTTGCCTTCCTGGGGTCCATCTTTTTCTCTGCCATCAATCTGCAGTGCATTTCGATGCACATGTTCGCCGTGTTCTGGCAGGGTGTGCCGCAACGACAGTCATCAGGCACATCACTACCTTTAGCTCCTTCGCTAAAGCTGGACTTGGAAGTGTGTCTTCTTAAGATTACTGCTGTGCAGGCGGCCGACATCTTGGTCACTTTGCAGCTTCAAAAGCAGGAGGATCCTGCTGTCGGATCGTCGGCAATCACTTGCATCAAGGCCGTGCGATGGGTTTGCAAGAACACCCAGTGCATTGTATTCGAGGTTTTTTTTTGCGAGCTGATTTCATCCTTCTTGAAGACGAAGCTGCCTAAGGACCGCAGGGAGAGCTTGCCCCTGCCGCTGTTTGCACTTGTGCAGTGGGAACGGCGCATCCTTCAGCGCTCCACCTCGTTGGTGGACGTCGTGCTGCTTGGAGCCTTCCTCGTCACATGTTGGTCGCGTCTTCGTTTTGCTGACAGCCAGCGCACAGAGTGGAAGTCATTTGCCTTCGACGTGGTGTCGCTTCGGGCCATTGCATACCAGACGAAAACATCACATCAGGGCCAACCCTTCGGCCTGATCGCGCAAGGCTTCTTACATCATGGTGCACATTCTTGGGTGGCTAAGTGGCTCCGGGTTCTTGACTCCATCGCCTCGCAGGAGGTGCGCGATTTTGGGGTGGCTCCTAGTTTTCTCTTTCCGGCGCTGGACGATGACGCCGAGTTGATTTGCACTACTACTTGCAGTTTCCATGGATGGGGTCTCCTCCCGCGGTGCCTGTATCCAACTATACGGTGCATTCCATGAAGTGTAGCCTCTTAAGTTGTATGCTTGAGGTGCCGGACATCCGCGGTCCCGACAGGGACGCTCAAGGACATCATAGGGGGAGTAGCAGGGAACTTTACAGCAGAGACGATGTGCTAGGGGCAATCCGTGCCCAGACACAATTGAGGTCTGCAGTCTTGGCGGGCTTTCGCCCGAGGACGCCATTGCACCGTGGAGCGCAGCTCCCCATGGCGCCGATTCCCTTTGTGTTGGAAGCTTTCTGCAAAGAGATCGATCAAGCGCCCTGGGGTTTCTTCTCCTTCGATGTTCGTGTCCCGGGGTCGCTGCCCTGGGTTCCCGGACAATCTTCCGCGTGCGCTGAAACAAACCCCGATCTGGGGGGGCATACCGATGCGGCTGCAACCACCGGCACCGAAGCTGCCGGCCCTTCTTTAGCCGACTCTGCATCTGAGGCTGGGTCTGAGTCCAGTCTTGAGGGCGGTGCAGGGCTCGAGTCACTCGGCCCCCCAGATGAAGTGCACATGGTCGCCGCAACAGGCGTTGTGCATGCAGCATGCCCGTCAGGGGAGAGGACGCTCTGTGGCATCGGCATGTCGGGCCCACGTTGGCAGTCGATCCACTCGCTTAATGCCAAACATGTTCTTTGCAGGCGAACTGCCTGTGTTAACGCCTTCGCAGCTCTGGAAGCCTAGTAAAAGTGCCTTTTGACGCTTTTGTTTTTGGTCGGTCTGCGCTTGCACTTCGGCTTGCACATGTTTCTTCATGCATGCCACATTCTTTGAGTTGAGCCTGCCAGGACGATGGTCTTCTCTCGCACCCGTTGCTGCAGGCCCGAATTGGAGTTCAGGTAGATTCTGCCTCTCGCACCGTGGCGGATGCACTTTTGGATGATAAATCCATGGACGGATCCTTCAATCTGGTGAATCCCTCACCCAGCCCGCTTAAAGCAGAAGGAGCCTCAGGCTTTTATCAGCTCCTTCAGGATCACGGCATCAGCCAGGAGCTCGCGGATCGGCTGCTCGCCGACGGTTGGGATGCGAAATAATTTCGCCATGTTGTCTGCCAGGAATCTGAGCTTGCGGGGGTCCTCCCTGAGATGTTCCCCGACACTGAAGTGTCCTTGATGCAGCGTGCCAAGCTGCGAGCCTTGTGGTCGTCGCTGCAGCGACGAGGCAATGCAGAGACTACCCCTGCAGAACCGTTGGGTTCCCCGGCCAAACAAGGCTCGGGCTGGTCTGAAGCCTTCGCCCCGAAGCTTGATGCTTCACGTGTGGCCACGCTTAAAAAACGGTTCTTGGAAGCCTTCCCCTCCGAAATCTTGACTGCCATGAATACCCCATCACTTCGCCTCCTGAGCACTGCAGTGGACGCTGAGGTTAAGCGGAGCTGGTCCTGGATTCCCTGGAAGAGCCGCATGACACAACAGATGTATGAGGACTCCCTCATGCAGAAGCTTGCAAAAAGGGCCAGAATTGAGACCCTTCAGCTTTCAGACCTCTTGCTTGACGAACCGCCGCAAATCGACATCAACGATTCCACAATGGGGATTTCGATGATCCGCAGGCTCTTGGAGGTGCATGATAACGCCTTCGCTCTTGCCGGTACCGCGCACCTCGCGCGCCTTAAAGCTTACACTTCTAAGTTCTTGAGCCTGGTGTCGCAGAAGTTCCCGCCTGAAACCAACCTTCGGCCTCCTTCTGTGCTTGATGCTCAACAGGCGGACAAGCACCTTTGGTCGTGCATCTTTCAGTTAGTGATCGAGAAAGAGTGGCAGGTGAACGATGCTATCTTATCTACGAGTTCACAGAGATCCGCGGCGACATGTCATCATGGCTGCAGCCTCGTGCCAAAGCGGCTTCCTCCAGCAATCGTAGGCCGTACACGCCGGGTGGCCGCGATAACCGCCCACCCGCCCCGCCGCCAGGTCGTGGCCCCGGCAAGGGCAAGGGGGAAAACCAAGAACCCCACCAAGCAGGGCACCCAGCCAAAGGGCGTTCAGTGGGTTCGTGAGTTCAAGGAGGGCAGCCAGGTGAAAAAATTGTGCATAGGGTGGCAGATCGGGAAATGCCAGCGTGGCAAGTCCTGTGAGTTCACGCATGGCTGCCCCAAGCCTGATGGCTCACCCTGCCTTAGCAAGGACCACGGTGCACCGACCATGCGCTCGGCTCGCCACCACGGGGGGATGACGAGCCAATCCACAGCTGGGGTGAGCTGCCTGCTCCCCACCAATCAATGCCTCCTCCTGTGCTGCCGTCCCACCAGCAAGCTCTCCCGAGCTCGCAAGTTTTGGATTTCAGTTTTCCGCCATTGCCGCCCGGGGGACGTTCCCCCGTCCTCAAGCACTTCAATTTTGCCTGCGCCGCCCGGGTGTGAACCAGGCCCTTCGGGTCGCACACTTGTATTTTCCAATTTTTGTGGGCCGGAAATGGAAGGCCTCTTCGATTGCATACTATGCTCACTGCGGGAAGCCCCGTGGCCCCAACAGGTTCGCCGCGCTCACATCATGCATTTCGGGCGCCTCTTCGGACTCACCTCGTGGCTTACGGAAAGCCTTGCTGCAGTTCTGCATCTCCATTCGTGCCGATACGCGCTTGCTGGCCAGAGGCTCATGCCCGTCGCCTGAGCCGCTCTTCAGCTCCACCGAAGTGTCCGCAGCTGGAGATCTGGTCTTTCCTTCCTTGGGTTTGCAGACCCCAGACAACGCCTGGTATGTGCATCCATACCAGCCCATGTGCTTGCATGCATTTGAGGCCCTGGCCCAGCACTGCGAGGATCAGGACACTCATTTGTTTCCTCATTTGCGGATGGGAGTACCGACGGGATACTTGAACGATATCCCCCCGTCAAATTGCTTCTGGCTTCCCAAAGGCCAATCCGGGGAGCTGACACCGCTTACGCTCAATCTTGAAAACTGGAAGTCAGCTGAGGTGGCTCCGGATGTCACATCGCGCCTGCTCCAGGAGGAGTTAGACGCGGGCTACTGCTTTAAGTTTGAGGGTACACTCGAGGAAGCGAAAAGTAGATGGCCCGTCGGCCTTGCACTTGGAAAACTTGGTGTGGTCAGGGCGGCGGGGAGGGCCGAACGGCTCGTCCTGGACAACAGTGTAGCTGGGACAAACTCTCAGTGTTCAGTGCCGGAGCGCCAATGCTTCCCGAGCATACATACATGACGCCTCGCATTCTTTCCCTCTTCGCGAGATCTCCGACCGCCAAATGGCCAAATGCATAGACGTCAAGCAAGCGCACAAGCGCTGCCGAATCCGCGATTCCGAACAGGGCTTACTCGAATTCACTTGGCGCGATGAACTCTACTTCTTTCGATGCTGCCCATTCGGGGCAGTGTTCTCACAGCATTGGTGGGGCCGCGTGGGAGGGTGCACCTTGCGCCTGTTGCACACCCTCCTGTAGGAGGCCCATGTGGGCCTCCTCTTCGTGGATGACTTCATTTTCAGCCAAGCGGCCAGCCTTATGCCTCTGTCGGGCGCTGTCATTTGCCTTTTCCTTCAGGTCGTGGGCATTCCAGTCAGTTGGAAAAAATTGCAAATTTCTTGTCGGGTCGATTGGATAGGCTGGCGGTTATGGTTTTCTTCGGGTACTGTTAGTCTCAGGGAGGAAAAACGCTTGCGACTCCTAGATCAGGTGCGTTCCCTTCTTCGTGGTGGTAGCCGCATTTCGACCAAGGAGCTGGAATCTTTTCTGGGCCTAGCCATGTGGGCTTGACCATGCGGGCCATGCTGCACCCTTTCTACAAGGACTTGTGGTCCCCGGCTGCCACTATTTCAGCATCGCTCCGGAGTCGTGGCATTGCATTCACAATTTTCTGGACGCTTCACTCAGGTTTAAGGTCTCCAGGCCTCACACCGCCATCCCCGCAGGTGCCAAGCTTCTCTCGGCTCGTCATGTGCCTTTCGCGACTCTGGCAGACCTATCCAAAGTCGCAGTGACGCATAAAAGATTGTGGCTCCGCGTTGACGTTGAGTGCCTCAGCAGTTCGCGGCGGAAACTCTCGAATGCCTCAGTCCGTTCGTTGCAAGCCTTCGAGCGTTGGTTGCAACACGTTGCACCACTTGCCAGCATGCGTCCGTTACAGGTTGCAGACGTTGAAGCCTTTGCCGATGCATCGGCGTCGGGCACATCTTGCAGTATGGGCGGTTTTGTTCTTTGTCCGGTTCTAGGCCAGGTTTGGTTCACGGAAACTTTTTCGGTTGAGGATTTTGAGGCTGCGGGCATTCCCTTCGGCAATGACTTGGCTAAGGAGATAGCCAGTTGTGAAGCCCTGGCTCAGGCAGGGCTGATTCTCGCTCTCTCCGCGCTCGCTCCTTGCAGCAGGGTTCCCCTGCGCCTACCATCCCTCTGCGACAATTCCGGGGCAGAGGGGGGGCTGAACAAAATGTTCTCTACAAAGCACCCTCTCGGCCTTGTTCTCGAGCTTTTTGCCCTTCTTGCAGCTATGCATCGCATCTCTATCGACGTGTCTCATATACCAGGTGCCAAGAATTGCAAAGCAGATGCGCTTAGCCGGCCGGCGGAGTATACCCTACTCCTCCAGACTGCCTTCCGTGCCAACGCATGCGATTCGGGCTCTCTGATCTCTGGGAGCCTCGTCCTAAAGTGGAGATTTTCCCTGCCCGCTTCACCCTGCCTTGGTCTCGCTGAAATCTGCCACTCCCTACAGCCCACACTTCCTTGGCCTTCTTGAGCGCGCTGTGGGGTGGCAAATTCCCTCGGTGCAACAGTCGCCACCCCACAGAAGGCATTCTCGGGTCAACCCGTTTCAATGCCCGGCACAGTTGATCTTTGCGATCCCATCGAAAAGCGAATGGACCGAGTACGGATTGCATTCATTTTCCGTTCTCGGGTTTAGGGTTCAGGATTTGGTTTAGGGCAACGTTTTTTCCTTAGCAGAACGTACTTGTGGACTTGTCCACTGATGTTTTGCAAATGGACAAACGGTTGCCTTTCCTTTGACGAAACTGGAAAGTTTTCCTTTATTCGTTTTTGCCAGTGCCTGCGTCAGCTTGCTTCAGCACATGTCTGGAAATGCAGTCTCTCTGCATTCCATTTTGGATCAAGTTGCGGCGAAGTCGCTTCGCAATTTTGATTTCCCGCCCGACCCACCCTGCTTCGCTTGCGTGCACGCCGGCCTCCGCTAGGCCCGGCACATCTTGGAACGTGCTATCCTTCCTTGCCTATTCAACTTGCACCTTGTGTGGCACCCCTGCCATCCTGCCGCCGGCACCTTGCTTGGGCATCCCCAGCCCTTCAGGTCGCCATTGCTTCACCGTGTTGTGGTGCTTAGGCTTAGGTCAGTGCGCCGCTGCCGCACCACTTTACTTTGGTGCTTCCTTCTGGGCCCGCCACTGGCCCCACATCGTTTCACCGCCGTAGTCTGCAGATCGCCTCCTATTTGTAGCCTCCGCTGTAGCGTGGACTGCTCAGTCCCGGAAGACCCCTCTGGTCGTTCCCTTAGTCCGAAACCGTCACTCAAGTGTTCTAGCTTCGCTCGTAGAACTTTTGTTCGTGGGGTGGTGCAACAGTCGCCACCCCACAGAAGGCATTCTCGGGTCAAGCCGTTTCAATGCCCGGCACAGCTGATCTTTGCGATCCCATCGAAAAGCGAGTGGACCGAGTACGGATTGCATTCATTTTCCGTTCTCGGGTTTAGGGTTTAGGATTTGGTTTAGGGCAACTTTTTTTCCTTAGCAGAACGCAGTTGTGGCCCGGAGGACAGTCGCAACCGAGAATCGAATTTTCCCACTCTCCCGCCCTGGAGGGAGGAAACAGGTCCTGTGGTGCCCTTGAGCTGTGGCTCGTTGCGAGAGGGCGTTGTGTGCCACGGATGTTGGCGGTTTGCGTGCTTTAGATCCCCCCTGTTCCTCTTCCTCTCGCCTAGCAGCGCTGGTGCTGCGCACGCAACCCTACCCTGCTATCGTACTTACGGTATGCGCCATCCATGCTCCAGGACGCCGCGCAAGATTTTAAACGCAAACAAACTTTCTGGGAAACGCTCCCGGGGTACCTCAAACAATTGCCCAGGCCGGCCACCATAGTGCTGGCGGGTGACTTTAATGCTCGTATTGTCAAAGAGGACTTCTCAGATTACTCGGTCCAGCCGTTCTCCCCACTGACTCCCCTTTTGATGAGTCAACAAATTATGCATTTCTTGTTGAATTCATGATCGCCGATGATTTTGTTAATAAGCATGGCCGGGCTGCAGGCTAGCTTTCCCAGTGCCCAACAAAGGGGTTGCAACTACTGTGCGAAGACAGTAGCTTCATTCAAGCGTCCCTCATGCCACGTTGTGAGCAAGTCGCCAAGAAGGATGCAAAAGCCCGTAGCGGTAGCTGCTTCATTCCGAGGTGCTTCTCCCTGTGCAGTTGCACTTCTGTCTCTTCCGCTGCCTTTTTGACCATCCACAGGACTTCCCAAACCTGTGTATCTCTTCCAAGGAGGACTCCCGTGACAGATTCTTGCAGGTCTATGTGAAGGCTTCTTTCTCGCCAGAGACTCTCTGCCCGCTACAGATTGTGGTTGGCAGGCGGCAAGCGGATCGTACAAGGATTCCAGCGAGGTCGTATCATGGTCCACGGCCATGAATTCGACCCGGACATGTTTACGCATCCATCCACCTACAACGGCACCATGCGCTTTTTAGGATTTGGGCCACTTCAGGATGAGGCGATCCTGGCCCACCCCCTGTCAGTCCCGATTCGGCTGGCGGGCCTACTTGCCAATGCTTTGGTACGAGTATGCGCCCGAGCCACTTCATCGGGTACCTTCGTAATGCCTCCTTCTGGCTTCGGGGACCACGAACCGAGGATTTTTTTTATTATCCTCCCCGGTTCTTCCGACTGGAGCAGTACGATGTCTACGAGTGCAGGGCCAAGGTCCTGTGTGCGGAACTTTGTTCCTCGGGCAACAAGGATGATTCGATTTACACCCAGTGCGACAACTGGTGTCGGCTTGGTGGCTGGTTTGGATGTATGGAGGCAAGGACATGAGGTGCTCACCCAGGCTGGCGGCCTACAGGTGGGCTTGGACTTTCACTTTCCCGCCTCTGACTTGATTCCGGATTACTACCCTGATTTGCCAGAACGTGAGTGGTATCCGCATAGCAAGCTGGATCATCTTTACCAGACACAAGATTTTCGGCGGCTTTATTTCCTGACCGACGATCAGATGGATGATGGAGGATCCTAGCGGCAGCTTTCGCGCGCTTTTGGATAGCTGGCCTGCTAGCTCATCGTCGCGGAGCCGTGGCTTGACTGACTGGCAGCAGACTCCTGCTTGCTTAGCGTCACGCCGATTTGCAAAGCTGGGAAATAAGAACCACTGCATGTGATCCATCTCCGGGCCTTCGCATGGGGCAATGGCTTGGATTTTGTGAACTTTGGTGGAGATGGAACGGCCATAAGGGGGCAGTCCATTGTCCGACGGGACTAGAATGGCCCCTTTTTCCCGGGTAGCCTAGGGTGCCGAGCCTCTGCTGCTCCGGATCGGCTGACCGTAGGTAGTTTGACCAGACTGAACGAAGTGGGCAAAGCCAAGTTGCCGCAGTCTAACCACGTAACCCGGTCCGTGCTTCTTCGTTTCACCTCTTTTGCACGTGTTTGTGATTTCGTGATTTAGTTAGGGACTGAGTACAGCTGCAGCTCTCGACGAAGCCCGCTTAAACCAAAAAAGCGAGGCTTGGTACTAAAGCGGTACAGCAGAGAAGTGTGCAAAGACAACAACAAAGCTAAAGAAGATAGCTTACTTGGACGTTCCCATTTTTTGGCTTGCCGACTGCTCAAAGCTCCGCAGTGACCCAACCGGATCTTCGATCTCGCCGGTCTTGAGGCTGGTTTAGCGGAGCAGTCGCAAAAGCCCAAGTCCGAAACTGGCAAGTCGAAGCTTCGCAAAACGCTCTGAGAAGCCCAAGTGGGAAAATGAGGTGAGGTTCGCAAGCAGAGGCTGGCTGAGCTCACTTGCCGTTGTTGGAGCCTCTGTGCATCGGGTCCAGCACGTGTCGGGCTGGTGGCTGCCACAAGCAAGAACGTATCCGAGGGAAAAAGTGAAACTTCAAAGCTGACATGGCCAAAAACTTCTCAAGTGACAGCTTGATGCGATTCTGTGGCAAAAACTTCACAGGCAAGCTGGAGACACCGTCCCATCGAAAGCAGATCTGCGATCCATGTGATGGCTCGTCCAAGTTGCAATCTTTTTCGCTGCTTCTTTTACGCTGTTTTTCTTGCTTGTCATACGATACAGACTTTTTGCGACTGCTGCGCTAAACCAGCTTCAAGACCGGCGAGATGTCGTTGCACACTTCTCCGCTGTACCGCTTTAGCACCAAGCCTGGCTAGCCTTTGGTGGTGTGTAGGACTGTCCTGAACATGTCTGTGTTGAACGCAGTGTATTCTGGAAGACAGAATTGCGGAGTTGATTTTCGGAACGTTGAGAAGAACCCGCACTTGGAACTGTGACAATTGCAAGCAGCCCCTTTGATGTTCGAGGATGGTACATAAGGAGTTTGAGCCAGTCAATGCGTTCAACGTGAAAGGATCGCGGCTACCTTACCTCCACTCGCTCGATTGCGTTTCTGTGTTTGTGAGTGGTTCTCCAGGCTTTTGGTGGGCGGCGTCAGGTGGATGACCTGAATCGGGCCCTGGGCTTGGAACTTGCGCGGCGATTTAGCTCCTGGTAACTGAGTTGTTTGCAGAAAGGCGATGACAAAGATTGAAGTTTGGAGTGTCCATAGTTGCTCTTCTTGCAACCCATGAAATCAGGCAATCAAAGCGGAAGGGGAACTGTCTAGAATCCGTTGTTTATCGCTTCAGGCAATCAAGCTTTCCTTGTCCGCATATCCAGCGGCCAAGATCGACATCTACAGCCAGAAGGAGAGCATTTCACCTCAAACCCGCTCTGCCACCTAGGCTTCCCTGTGCCGCATTTCAGCTTGACTTTGCAGGACGGGAACTGGGTGCCGGAAGATGATGAAGCAAAAGTAAATCGCGGCATATCCATGCCCAGCGCTTGGTTTCGATAACTTTTCAACTTAGGGGTTTTGCCGTCGCCCCACTCGCAGGGCAGATTGCTACTGATTCGTGTTCCATCAGCGGATGATGCTTAAGTTGTGTGCTTGTGCCTCAGCAGCGCCGGAGTTTGAGTGCTGCGACCTTGTATCCTTCCTTGTTGTGTGAGTTTCTCAGCTCGGCAGTTCAACGCTCACGTTCCTTGATCAGGCTACAGCGTTCAAGTTTTCAAGTCAAGCCGGGCATGCAAACGGGTACAGGACCAACTCTCCGCCGCCGCTCGCTCGCGATGACTGCTCACCTGCCAGCCTTCCAACCTCCTCCGTGACGCGCCTGTTTCGTTCAGTGCTCGCAAATAACACATGCTTGAGAAGCATCGCGGAAACAATGTGGGCCCTTGCAGCATATGCGCCTCAAGCATCCCAACATGCTCCTACATCTCATGTTGCTGAACTGACGGAACTCGGCTTTACTGTTCTGCAACTGTGAACCGTTTTGCAGTTTGACATAACTGTCATCAATGCAGCGGACTCTGTGGCGACTCGGTGGCGACCTTGTGGCGACCGGTAAAAACAAGCATGAATTGGGCAAACCTGAAGCACTTTTGCAGCTGCTAAAGCATTATTGTATCATTATGAGTCATTCTTGAATCATTATTGAGTCGTTTTGCGTCAACATTGGATCATTATGAAACAAACAAACAAACATCAACAAAAAAACAAAAAATGGAGCGAATCTCAGCGTTGTTTGTCAGCCTAAACCAAGCAAATTCTTTGTCTTGATGGGAGAGAGCGTTTTGGAGCGAAGTTGAGCATTTTTCGGCCGAGTAAATGCCCCGCATAAGCCTACAACATCGTCGAAGAAGTCGTTTTGGCGCGATCTTGAGTGGTTTTCCGCCCAAAAAAAACTCCCCATAAGCCTACACTCTATTATTGTGGGAAGCTAGCCAAGGGTAGTGGTTCGGCAGCTAGCTGATAGAGCAACGCTGGAAGTGGCAAAATGGCTGCAAGCTTGTGCGGACCGTCCTGTGGGCCCGTCCTGTGGGCCAGAGCGGAGACAAACCAATTTCCGTGCCAAAATGCTCAGACCTGGCACACATCCGGCCCGGAATGTAATGTGTGGAGTCTGAGCCTGAAGATCTAAACAGTGAGTTCTGTCCTAGATTCCTAGATGCGTTGGATTCTGCAGCGAGCCGTGCCTGCCTTGTGCGAGTGTGCGAGTCAACCCGTACCTTGTACTTCTGACAAGGCAACATTTGGAAGCCGTACCGACTACTGCGCTGCTGGGACGGCAGCCTGGAGATGAACCTGACGAGTAGGAGGCTTCATAGTCGGTGCCGCACTGGCTAAGGACATGAGCATGGTGGATGGGTATACGCTGCCCTTCCAGCTTCCCGGCACCAGCACAACACCGAGCTGCGAAATTGCGGGAAGGTGTTTCTGAGAGATTCCAGCAGCTCGTTTTGAAGCATGGAATTCCTGGGCAGCGCGCCACCCTGCCATCCACCCTGCCATTTTTGGCTCAAGGTGTACCTATAGATCAATGTAGATTTTCTGGCAGTTGCGGCGCTTGATGAAAGCCAGCTGCTGCTGCTGTTCATATTGCCACCGAAATGAAGCAAGTCGTGAATGCGTGGAGTGTCCTGTTGCTCTTTACCGGGGCTGTCGTCAGCCATGGAAGAAAAATTGTGCAGGACCACCGCGCTGCGATTGAGACAGATGCAGACAAGGAGTTTGGTACGGCCACGCTTCAGCGATTTGAAGCGAAAGCCATGCAGTTGCTGGCTCACCTCGAAAGCAAGATCAACAGCGTCGATACTCACCGTGTTGAGCAGGATGCACCGCAGATCGTGACCATACCGGAAACTGCAACGCTTCCAGCACGCAACACATCGCATCCGATGGAAATGTTCGAAGGATGCAAGGCTTCGAGCCCTGTGGAGGCCTTGCTCCGGCGAGCCAGCCACGTGCACGAGGAAAAGGAAGAAACCCAGGAGGCTGTCAATGAGTCGACGGGTGCAAGGTGTGCACTGTACCAGATGCCAATGACGTACTACCGTTGGGATACATCCACTGCAAGCAGTAGCTGCTGTGACAGCCGCAGCAAGGACTGCAGCGGATGTGAGAAGATGGAAAGCGGCAAATGCGCCGTGCGCGAGTCCGCTTTTGTCCAGCTCAAGGGAGACGACATGCACACCGCATGCATGGACATCGTCTGGGTGAATGGCAAAGGAAAGACGTGCCAGCAGCTGAGTTCTGCGGACTGCAACGACTTCCGATTTCAGGGCACCAGCAGCCGGGAAGCCTGCTGCAAGTGCGGAGGCGGTGTGAAGACGGCTACTTCTTTCAAGTATGACGACCATACGTACATTCTTGGTGAGCAAGTGTCCATGTGGCCGCAGCCTCGCACGGCCATGCGCTACGGTCTCAACGAGGGCTGCGAGTTTGCCATGTACAACCTGACGTTGAATGGTGCGACTGGCGAGGTGAGCTTTATCAAGGGTGCAGGGAAGCCAAAAGAACCTTTTAGAATCAGCTGCAAGGTCACGGCCTTCCAGCCGCATCACTTGTTCTTCACGGCCACGGTGACAGTTTCGATGGCCGAGCTGTCGTATGGCCCTTCTCTACTGCTGTTCACGGCGAAGACGAAGAGCTACACCTTGCAGAAGTTTTCTCCACCCAAGAGCCACTGGAAGGACTTCCAGATGATGTGTGCGCCGGATGCAAAGTGGGTGACGATGGACAAAACGGGGGACTTGAAGCTTGCAGAGGCGAAAGAGACAGGTGCTGTGGACATCGTCAAGGACCTCTACAAAGGCCAGACGGCGACGGTCTGCCATGTCTTTGCGCTGCTGCGAAAGAGCCCTACTGCAGAGTGGGAGAAGAAAACCGTCGATTTTATCCTCGTGAAGCCGAAGCCCGCGAAGAAGTTATCCTACTCTACGAGCCTCATCGCCAGCTCCATTTCGCAAGTGGTGCCGCCGGTTCTTCCAGTGCCCTTCAAGGAAGGCGACATGGCGCCGAATGCATACACCATGCGCTGTGACAAGGGGGGCTTCACCTTCGACAGCCTCCATGGCATCGGCTTCTACGATGGCCATCCCCTGCTGGAGCTGCAGCCCAATGGCCAGCTGAGCCTCAACATCGGCCCATCCTTTGTGCACATCTTCGATAGCATGGGCAACAGCAAGCAGAACAGGAAGATCGGCTTGCTGGACCTGAAGCTGAAATGCCGCATCTTCGGCTCCTTTGGGGATCCAGAACTCGAGCCCATCTCCGCGCGCATGGACATCGTGGTGTCGGATTCTACCTGTTGGGTCCAGGAGAAGATGCCATATCGAAATATCAGGCGTTGGCACGGCGTGAACAGCCATGCGGAATGCCAGAACATTTGCAGGAACACCGCGAGCTGCTCTCACTACCGCTACATTCGGCGCGGCAGCGGCAGTGCCAATGCCTACTGCTACGACACCAAGCGGGACGAGACCAGAACCGCCTCCACCGTTTGGTCCAAAGTTCCAGATTGCAATCCCATGAATACGTGCGTCCAAGTGGATGCACCGACCTGGCTGGAACGAGGCATTTATTGCCCCGTGGGCTACGACATCGACCGTCAGAGCATGACGTACCTCAAGGATGGAAAGACTCCAAAGGAGACGATTTATCTGCGCCGGTACAAGGCTGGTGTTGACCGAACAGTGGATGGCTGCAACAGCGGCGGATGGTTGCTGCAAGAAAAGAACGCGAACGACTTCGTGAGCTTGTCTAAAGGAGTTTTCGAGTTCTCCGGACCTCTTGTCGGCTGCAAGGTGAAGGGGGTGAGCTACACCGGCCTTCCTTGCGAGCAGCCGGGAAATATCACAGAGGAGGGAGCTGACATGCAGCCGATTATCTTGGACGACCCAAACACAGAGGATCCTGCCGACTTCTGGCTCCATCCATGCGATTGTGCGAGCAAGATGTGGGGCGACAAACCGCCCGTGGATCCCCAGGTTTTCGCACAGATGCCGCCAGAGTCTCCTGACGAGTTTGTTCCGTCCCCAATGCTGATCGTGGAAGGACAGTTCGTCTGTCCCCCCGGTTACATGCTCGGGGATGGGCCCCTTTTCGAGAGCGACATCGAGTCCATGGAGGTCGGAGACTGTGAGATTCGATGCAAGAACAATGACGACTGCCACTTCTTCTGGCACGGTTCGCAGCATTCTGCGAACACCTGCCGGTTGTACTCGAGATGTAACAATCTTCTACGTGAGCCCGGTGTGGAGGGCGTGCTGAAAGCAGTGCCTCGTTCGCCTGTCTGCCTGGTGAACAACCCCGAGATGTGCTGGACCAAATCGATGCGACGCTACGCTCTGACTAGTCAGCAGCCACCCGGCGAGTTCCAGTTCCTGTACTGGACTCTGCATGCCCAATGCGACTACATGCTCTTGCTCGGAGGCTGGGGAGTGAGCGCATGCACACGCCCGTCCCACCGCACCCTCAAAAGCCATCGGTGGAAGCACAAGAGGCTTTTGCCTGAAGAGTTCCCTCACGGCACGAGGCTGAAGGCCACATGCTGGAACGAGCGCTACAAGGGGATCCGCCTGGGGATCCGTGGCGATGAGGTGGCCACCTGCGTAAGTGGCAGCTGGTTCAGTTCGAGCAATTTCCCCGGCTTCGGCGACTTTTCCTGCGTCGGCTGTGTGCAGGTCGGCACGAGTGGATTCGGCGATGTAGAAACCAAGCGGCAGCAGGAGCTTTACTACTTCAACAAGCTTGCACTGTCGATACACAGTGAGGTGAACCCTATCGCCGATGCCAAGGTGAATTGCATGGAGCCCGTCCGCCCCAAGGCGGGTCAGGAGACCTCGCTTCCCGAGGACCTGAAGAAGGTGCACACTTTCGACCTCAAAGGCCACGACTTCACGATCTTGAACGATGTGATTGGCGACAAAACCTTATGGGCCAACGACGAGGCTTCGAAGAACAAGTATACTTACCAGAGCTTGCCGGAGGCTTTGGCGGCTTGTGCCGTGGATAGCAACTGCTGGTTCGTGTCGCGGTCCGAGGGAACGAAGGTGGGCCTCGCACTTCGCAGGTTCGACTTGCGGAAAGGGAACATGGTCCGGTTTGTTGGTGCCAAGACCTGGGTGAAGTCCCTCGCGAATCCTTGCATCGGCAACTGTGCCGCCCTGCGGCCGGTGAAGTGTGGCCCTGGTGTCAAGGCCTGTGGCAGATCCGTCGTTGATGGCCGCAAGGCAGGATCCTTGTGGAAAGTATCTCCTCATGCGGACTCCCTCCACTGCCACCAGAAGAAGTGGGTCCAGATCGACCTCGGATCAATCAAGGAGTTTGATCAGGTGAAGGTCTTTGGCTATGCAGATGGGCGCAGATACTGTGGCCACTCTATCCTGGTGTCCAACAACGAGAAAGACTGGAGACACGTGTATGCGAACAACGGTTGGAAAGCGCATGAGCGTGGCCAAGGTAACACCTTCAACCTTGGCTCGCAAGTCGGTCGCTATGTGCGCGTCTATGCCAGCAGGAGCACCTCCAATGCTGGCATCCACCTCCTCGAGATTGAGATCTACCGAGCAGCAGTGCATCAGCCAAAGCTACCCGGGTCCCACTGGATCACCGACCAGCACGTGAAAGAGCTGCGGGCCAAGGCGAGGAAGCCCTCGATTCTCCAGGATGGCTTGGTCATGTACTACTACTACGGTCAGTCGCACTGCAATGTCCCCGACCTCAGCAAACTGACGCCCGAACACTACGTGATTGTGCCGAAGGTGTCTGGGTTTCCCGGAATCCGTCAACATGATCATTTCTGCGTCAGGTGCGTTGGATTCGTGAACATCAGGAGAAGAGGCCATTACTATTTCTACACGTCCTCGGACGATGGCTCCTTGCTGTACTTAGACGGGCACCTGATCGTCAACAACAACGGTTGTCATGGAAACCAGCAGCGGGGGAGTACCCGGCGCTGGCTAGAAAAAGGAAGGCACCGCTTGGTGGCGGACATGTGCGAAAACGCTTGGGGCGAGTACTTCGAGGTGAGATATAAAGGGCCAGACACTGGCAATCACGTGATCGCGATACCGAGATCTGCCCTGAAGTATGAGAAGGCTGCCACGGAGGTGGAGCTGAAGGACGGTGCGGAGTGTAATTACTATTACGGCCGGCACGATTGCAACGTGCCAAACCTTGACAATCTGAACCCGTCCCATATCGTGACCGTGCCAGAGATCTATATGGACCGGCACCCCCCCAAGGAGTCGTGCTTTGACCTGCCCATGGGAGACCGCTTTATTCAGCTCGGGGAGTGGCGCTTGGGAGAGTTTGACTACAACCACTTTTCCATCTCACACAAGGATGGGAAGACGGCCCAGATCTTCCGCATCGACGGCACTCTGCACCCTGGACCCCGCAACGACTTTGGCACTTGGAACAGGGGGATCGGCTCACCCAAAGGGATCCATTTCGGCACTGAGTACGTCGAGATCGGGGCCTTCCGCCTCGGAGCCTACGACGCGACTCATTTGTCAATTTCCCACAAGGATGGCAAGACCGAGCAGATCTTCCGTGCCGACGGCACTTTGCACCCCGGGCCGCGGAACGACTTTGGCACCTACCGCAACCCGTCGCAGCTCAAGGGCATCTCTGTCGGTGACCGTTACATCCAGATCGGCAAGTTCCGCGTGGGAGATGTCGATGGCAGGCACTTTACTGTGACCTCTGAAACAAAGACGATCCAGATCTACAGGGAAGATGGCACGCTGCATCCAGGTCCTCGAAATAGCTGGCAGCAGGTCAACCAGAGGGTCCCCTGGAATTGGTGCCAGAGCAAATTCACTGAAATCAATCAAGCCGACAACTTTTGTGCCAGATGCACTGCCCAGGTTGCCATCACGAAAGAGGGGCACTACAAGTTCACGACTGCATCGGATGACGGCTCTCTCATGTACCTGAACGGGCAGCAGATCGTCGATAACAACGGCTGCCATGGCGAACAAGAAAGGACGAGCAGCAACCAGTGGCTCACGCCCGGCTACCACCTGGTGCAAGTGGACATGTGCGAAAAAGGAGGGGGTGAGGCCCTGAAGCTGCGATACCAGGGGCCTGACACCGGCAACCGCAAAGTCAAGGTTTCGAAGTCGGTCCTGAAGCACGAGAAGGCGGGACTAGAGTGCAAATACTTCTATCACCGGCATCATTGTTGGCTCCCAGATCTGGGCCGCTTGCACGCTCATCACACTGTTACCGTGCCGGACATTTGGATGGACAATGGCAAGTTCCCTGCCCATCGTCACCGCGATGCCTTCTGCATGAGGTGCAGTGGCTACCTGGTCATCAGGAAGGCGGGCCATTATCGGTTTTGGACCTCCTCTGACGACGGCTCCTTCCTGTTCATCAGCGGACACAGGGTCGTCGACAATAACGGCTGCCACGGCACACAGGAGCGCAGCAGCAACTGGAGATGGCTCCACGCAGGGAAGCACAGGTTGACCGCCGACGTGTGTGAGCACGGGGGTGGAGAGTCCTTCAAGGTGATGTACCAGGGACCCGACACTGGCAACCGCAAGATCAAGATTCCGAAAGAGTCTCTGCTCAAACCTGGGACGGCCACCAACACCAAGTCGTTCCAGGCACTGGACACAGTGACTGCAGACTTCCGAGAGCACGGCACGCTGAAAAGCGGCAAAGTTGTCTTCAGCAAGCACTCGGAGAAGATAACCTGCAAAATCTTTTGCGATGATGTTCTGGTACATGATGAGTACCACAACCGCATCGGTCACAAAGACCACGAGGTGAACATTCCAGAGATCTGCAAGGGGGCCCGCAAAGTCAAGCTCCAAGGAGGTGCCTCTAACGGAGGAACTTGCGGCTTCAAGAGCAACAAGTTGGAGTTGTTCAAGTTCATGCCGACAAGGACCCTGACGAAAAGTCAAGTGAGCACCATCAAGGACAGGGCATACTCCTGCCGTGCTCGCTACTCGGCAGGCGGCCAAGTGACAATCAAGTTGGACGATTACGGTGAGATTGCGCCTGGCAACAAGGTGAACTTTGGCCACCATGTTTATTCCAAATGCGAGGTCCACTGCGATGGGAAGAAGCAGACGGTCTACAGCGGCCGACGACGCCACAGGCATCGGCAGACTTTCGATGTGTCCAAAGAGTGCATCGGTGCAACGACCATGGTCCTTAAGGGTGGTGGGCACTGCGGCGGTTGCCAGATTGACAAAGGACACCTGAAGGTCTCTCCCTATCCGACGCACCCCTCGGAGGTGGTGATCCCGGCGAAGAAGATCGTTGCCTGGTTCAAGAGTGAGGACGCAGGACCTACCTGGCGAAGCAGCGTCGGCAAGTTCACCGCATCGGCTCGGAGACGGAATGGAGTGGTCGCCTACACAGCCCGCGGTTATGGAGCCAAGACTCCTATCCGCTACATCCAAGGCCATACCGGTCATCATTTCGACTTCGGGAAGGTTTTGCAGGATCATTACACGGTCTGCTCCGTGACCCGCTACCTCTCTGCTGGCGCAACAGGGCGAATCCTGACAGGCAGCAAAAGCAACTACCTCCACGGACATCACGCAGCAGGCGTGGGCCTGACCTATGCAAATGGCTGGCAGACTCCGACGGGCCTCCGCAAGAAGAGCACCAAGTGGCTCACGATGTGTTCTTCCCCCGGTGCCAAGTACGTCTTCGTGGACGGTGTTGACGTTGGCACCCATAAGACAGATTACTATCTGAACCAGCACCTCGAGATCAACGGTCGCCTCTGGCCCAAGGAAAAATCGGACTGGGCTGTCGCAGAGCTGATCACCTGGAATTATATCCTCACCAGGGAACAGATGAAGGAGGCATCCACGTATCTCATGAAGAAGTTGATGGTGGGAGGTGAGATGGATACGTGCAAGGTCATCCTGAAGCAGCCAGAGCACTGGAGAGATGAACGGGGCAGCTACAACAAGCAGGTCCTGAATCGCTTACGGTTGCACAAGTCGACGAAACGCGTTGACTTGGCCCTGGATTCCACGTCTGGTTGGTGTGCGCCCTCGAACCAAGGACACAAGTGGGTGGAAATCGACTTGCGAGCAACGGAGAAGGTACTGGGCATCATCATCCAAACCTTCCACAAGTCGGATGACTACGTCTTTGCTTTCAAAGTTCAGTACAAAGCATCGGAAAAAGGCAGCTGGAGAACGATCCCGAACCGCTTCACGGGTATGTCGCACAAGACCGAGGATCACGTGCGAGCATACTTCGCGGAGGCCGTCGAAGCCAGGTTTGTGCGTCTTACAGACTTCTGGTGGCACAGGAACATCTGTCTTCGAGCTGCAGTGATGCTATGCAAGACGCACTTGGACAACGAGGTGAATCTGCTGCAAGCAAAGACGTGCCCAACGAACTACAACAGCGAGTCCTGGAGTGAGTCGGATTCGGGTAGCAGGCACCTGCGAATCGGTGGCTCGCCGGATTGCCTGCGCGTTGCACAGACAAAGAAGCGGATGGCCCTTCTTTCCGCAACTTGTGACGGGGACGATGTCCACCAGATGATCCCTTCGTCGGATATCGGCTATCTTTTCACGATGCTCCATCGGAACAGCTGGCTCCAGGACAACGTGCTTCTGCCCGGCATCAAGGCGGAGTACTACTACAACCTGAAAGCGGACCATTGCGTGATTCCAGATCTCACGTGGCGTGCGCCTGACAAGGTGGAAGTTTTACCGAAGCTAGACTTCTGGAAGAAGACCAGCTGGTCAGGCCTCAAGCACAACGACAAGTACTCTGCCAGGATGAGTGGTGTGCTAATGATCAATGAGCCAGGTTGGTACGAATTCTGGCTCTGGGCGGACGACTCTTCCCGCATCTTCCTAAATCACAGAGAGATTGGGAGCCTCGGCGGCTGCGGTGGCACACGCCACAGGCACGTAAAGAGGAAGCTGACCATGGGAAGCTGGCCAATAGAGGTGCAGTTCTACGAATCTGCGGGACAAGCTTCCCTGCGCTTGGAGTACCGAGGGCCGGACACGCACAACAAGAAGACGATTGTGCCAGGGACTGCTTTCGCCCACATGGCGGATAAGACGCAGTGGATGCCGACCTCTGCGATCGCACGCGGCTGTATTGGAAACACTGCCCTGGGCTCCTTGCAACCGGACATGTTCCTAGTAAGCGACTTGGCCAAAGGAGTCCCAGTGGACTGCCGCTTCGTGCCCCTGCTCTCGAAGGAGCTTCCTGTTCAGATTGCGACGACCCGCTCTTTCAAGGACAACACCTGGCCTCAGTGGTGGGAGGATCTCGAGAGCTGGGAGATGGCCTGTCCTGAGGGTAAGGTGCTCCAGTCCCTGGACATGCTCAATGTCAATAACAAGCTTCAGGTCAAGTACACCTGCGCCACAGCATCGGGTCTCGGACAGTGCTACCCAGGTTGGACGGACCAGCAGGATGCGCACGAATTCAAGGATTCTCTCCTGTCCAAGAGCATCTTGAAGCGCTTGCACATCGTCTGCCCACAGCACGACCTGCTGAGTGCCGTCCACTTCGAATACTCCGAAGGAGGCTTGTGGGCGCGCTTCAAGTACGTCTGCTGCAAGGAAGCAGGTGCTCCAGTCGCCATGGTGTCAAAAGGACCGGACCACGCCCGAGTGAACCGCCTTGAGGGCACTTACTGCCCGGAGAAGGTTGGTTCCTCTGGCCGCTTGGACTACATCCAGAAAGCCTGGGGTAGCTGGCAGACCAAGAAGCTCGCGAGGTTGACTTTCAGCGAGGTCTCGGGCAAGTGGTGCATAGGAAGCGATTGTTCGAGCCCGGGCGACAACGTGGAGCCGATGGGCTTGCAGCTCGGCGGCTTCGATGCCACGGAGGTCAGCGACTTCGACGGCAAGTTCGAGGCGAAGGGTGTGAAGCCCAACACTGGGGGGCTCCTGGGCCAATCCCCGGTGCCGAAGGTGAAGCCTCCACCGCCTCCCAGAAGGCCGAAGGCTCCCAAGAAGCCCACACTGGAGACCTTCGAGCCCGAGATGCCCAAGTACTCGGACAAGTGCGTCGGGTATGGAGACCTCTGGAAGAAGGTGCAGGAGACGACCGTGAATGAGGCCGGAGAGGAGGAGTCGCATGCAGAGGAGCTGGAGACTGAAGAGGAATCACAAAGCGGATACAAAGCGATGCATCCTTGCGACCTGGCGGGTTCCTACGGTGGGCTCCGGAGCAAGTGGGCCGGAGGCGATGGCAAAGCAATCCCGAAGCCAATGCCCTACAACGAGCTGATGGGTTGCCTGGACCGAGATGGCGCCGCGTCCTTTAAGGGCCAGGAGATCGTCCGGCATCTGAACTTCATCATCGAAGGCATGAACCTTCCCGCAGCTATTGCAAGCACAACGTGCACCTTTGCGCCGGAGATCCTCACAGCTCCAATGGGCTTCGGAGCAAGCGCCGACTTGGCCGATATTTGCAAGGGCATCGTCCACTCAGTGACTGCGGGCGTCAAGCTTCTCAAGTATGCAGGATCGGAGATCCTCCGGAGCCAAATCAATAAAGCTGCGCGGGCAGACTGCGACGCCACCCAGGCGAACTTCGCGCGAATGTTCTGTGATGTTCATTGCGTCCGGGATGCGGTGATCCGAGGAGACAGAACCATCCTCCGCAACCTGAAGAAAGCAACGGACATCACAAATGGCAACACTGAGAAGCTGGCGGAGTGGATTGTCAAAACCCAGCAGCTTGACGTCTCTTGGCTGGCGGAGAAGATTGACCACCAATCTGTGGTGCAGAGCTTAGAGTCCACCAAGCAGTTCACCAATATCAAAGAGCTCCTCACAGGTGGAGACAAGAAGGAGTTGTTCCTTGCGATCAAGCAACAGACAATCCAGCTGCAATCGGAGCTCCGCGGCTATGTCGATGGAGCATCCTTCGGCAAGGCATCGCTAGTGGCAGCCAGCGATGCCCTGGAGAAGTTCAACGGCAACAGCAAGTCCGTCCTCCAAGATGGCAACAGCACCGAGCAAGTCTTCGCGGCCTTCGACAGCTTGGTGTCCCTGAGAGCCAAACTTCGGACCGCCTCAGATCAACGCAGCAGGGTGGATCACGTCGCACTGTCCGTGATGCAAGGCGCTCGGCAGATGCAACAGCAGCTGAAGCTGCAGCGCGCGACGTTGGGTATCTACAGGGAGAATGGGAACCGCACGCTTCAGGCAGCTCGTCAGAGGTCCAGCTTGGCTACCTCTGAGCGCCATGCGATGGTTCTGGACCTGGATCGCATTTGGTGGAAAATCCGTGGAGCTGTGGATTCCTATGTCGATGAGGCAGAGAACGAAATCAACAGCTTCGAGTCCGGATCACAAGCAATGGCCAACTACCAGCAATGTTCCATGGACTTCGCCAGCCTCCTTTCTATCTATCGGCACACCATGGCGGTCACCGACAGCTCCCACAGGGCCCTCAAGAAGACTTGGCGGCTGTGTTCGAATCTCATTGGCGAGTTGGCGTCCCACTTGGACGACGGCGAGGCCTTCGTCACCTTCCTCCAGCAGGAAGGCTGCGCGTCCCCTTTGGCGTTCCAGACCCTGGAGCAGGTCCGTGACGTGATGGGCAGCTTGAGGATGCTTTACCATCGCTTCGCCGTTTCGGGCCTAGCTTCACCAGAACTCAGCTTCGTGGAATCCACGGTAGATCGGATCAAGAAGACCTGGTCAAGTGCACAAGCAGTTGTTTGCAATCGGACCCGGGCACAGCTTCCGAGTTGGTACTTGATGCCTGTGGACACGGAGAAAGCCCTCGAGCAGCTGGAAGCGATCCAGCAGTAGTCTAGGGTAGTCATGTGGGTGGTCGTCAAAATTAGGGTCCCTTTTTAGCTCATTATTATAATACGGCACCTATTATTTAGGGTACCCAAAAAGGGACCATAACTGTGACAACCACCCATGTGGGTTTCTGAAAGCCCGGTAGTAGCTTTGAGGCAGAACGCGCGCGAATTCGCGCCAGCCTGTGCGAGTGTGCGCTCGAAACATCTGCTTCACGAGCACGTCGCTTGAAGCCTTTTGCTTACCCTTACGTGATTTGTTCTATGATGTTCTGCTGGGGAACTGCTCTGGACTGAGGCTCCAGGGCTGCTCCATTCCAGGCGCCTGGGCTCTCCCTGGCCAGCTCCCAAGATACGGCAGCACCTACTAGTGGTAGGTTTAAGTCATCCCTGCTGGGGCGAAGTTGTCCGAACTCCATGTGCCGCAGGGTTTGAGCTAGTTTTCCAATACCTCTATCGTATCTTGTTTCCCATCCAGTCTTTAGTTTCTGCGCGATGCAGGACTGTGCGCGGTCTTTCCTTGATCTTGGGTATATGTTGTGATGCCGCTTGTGTCTTGACTTGGTTGTTGCGAAATCGAGTGTCTACATGGGAAATGGCTGGTTTTGATTTGCTGTCCGTGAGCAGGTGCTTGCGAAATCGACCCTCTGCATGGGGAATGGCTGGCTTTGATTTGCTCTCTGCTGCGATGCCACTGATGCGTTAATGAGCGGCTGCTTGTGAAATCGAGCGTCTGCATGGGGATGGGCTGGTTTTGGTTTGCTGCCGCTGATGTGTTTCTTTAGCGGCTGCTTGCGAAATCGAGCGTCTACTTGGCGAATGGATACAGGTCTCATTATCTCGAGTCACGCGTTTTTTTTGCACGTGAATCGGCGACCAACATGGGGAACAGCATTTCTCAGTGCCTCTTCTATGTTGTGGCGAAGTTGGTGTCTTTGCTGTTTCGACAGCGTCTACATGACGTTACGGCATGTCGGGGGGCAACGAAAGGGTTTCAGCCTCTTTTACCAGCAGTAGTATTGCAGCTTGCGAAATCCAGCGTCTACATGGCTGGTTTTGAGTTGCTGTTTGTTGCCATTCCACCGAGGTGTCTCTCGAGCTGCTGATGCACAATCGAGCGTCTACATGTGCAGTTCAGGGTTTTGATTTGCTGCCACTGATGTGTTTCTTGAGCGGGTGCTTGCGAAATCGAGCGTCCACCTGGGGAATGGCTGGTTTTGATTTGCTGCCACTGATGTGCTCCTGCAGCACGTGCTTGCGAAATCGAGCGTCTACGTGGATAGTCAGTGTACTCAGCTCTCTTCTTCTCAGTCAGCTCTTACAAGTTCATCCAGCCAAGAAAGCTTCCATGGCGGCCAGCTGTCGCTCTGGTCCCGTCGGACAGCGATCGACCCCCAAGAACTGTTCTCCGCGCACCGAATGCGGAGTAAGTCCATAGCAGTGAGTCGCATGCACACTGATTCACCCGAGTGCTGCTGGTCAGGTTCAGCAAGATGGCAAGGATGTCCCAAAAGAGCGGTAGTGCCGTGATGAAGCAAGCAAATTAGGAAGGCCGTATAGAAACACCCGCCCAGCCTGCCAAGCCCGAGAGCCTCTCTTTCTCGTCCTTTTGCTTGCTTGCTGCATGAGGACCGACAGCAGAACGCATCGGAGCTCAGAAGATGTGTCTGCAGCCGCAAGATCTCCAGGTTTCCGCTGGCCAGAGAAAGCAAGCTGCACTTGGCGCTGGCCTCTGGACAAGGCCAGCAAGAGCCCATCCCAGCGTGCTGCAAGTGTGGAGCTGGAATAGAGCGATGACTGCAGTCATGTTTGAGACGGTAGGTAGCTTGTTAGCTTGTTTCTGAAAGAATCGTCTATATGTATATGTATATATATACATATATATATACATACAAATATACTAGCTGACCCTGCAAGTCATCTGAGTAGTTGCATGCGCAATCGTCCTTGCAAGCATGTTAAGCATCTGGCTGCACCCGCACTTACTCGCACTTAGACCTCAGCCTAAGTGTGGGAGTGAAAGACAGATCAGTCAGTTTGACGCAGGTGCATGGTGTCAGATGCACAAGTCACTATGACAATGCTTGTGCAGCACATGCATCGTGGTCTCAAGCCGCTGAGCCTCAAGTCCGAACGAGCCATTTCAATTCGGGCCTACACACGCTGCGAAAGCCCATTGGTGCGGATGCAGACTTACTTGATTATCATTGCGTGCAGCCTGGCTCATGGCATTGCAGAGTTTGCCACCGATGAACCTGGCCAAATTTTTGAGGAAGCTTCCTCAATCCGCGAGCTTGACATCATTGCTGGTGTCCACGACTTCCTCACGAGTGCAACCACTTTGTTCGAGATGAAAACAGCACTCGGCCGTATCAAGGCTACACCCAAGACGAGCATGAGCTTGGACGATGCCAGTCTTGCCAGAGTCCAGCAGCTGGGTACCAAGGGTATGCTTGCCGTAGCTGGTCTGCCATGGAATGTCACTTCAGGAGCCTTCTTAAGCATGCGCCAACACCTCTTCTCTCTGTCCGCTCGCACTGAATCCTTGTACATCGATGCTTTCAAGGAGGGCTGTGGCAAGTTCGCGCAGCCACTTGTGAGCTGGGCGGATCATACCGCCGGCACGCACAAAGCAGGGTCTGCGCTTCACAAGGCTACCCTGCATGCAGGTTTTGGCTTTGGATTTGGTTTTCAAGTTTGGTGTGGGTGCAACATGCTGCTTTCCTCAGGTGCAGGCTTTGGCCAAGGATTTAGCATCTACCCAAACCATGAGATCGACGGAGGTTTCGGAGGAGGCGGTGGCATCGAAGCCTTTCAGCAGCAAGGCAAGTCAAACAAGACAGCCTTCCATGTCGGTGGAGGAGGAGGAGGTGACTTGACAACATGCAACACAGACGAGGACTCACATCAAATCATTCCAAAGTTTGCAGCAAGCATGGCTGGCCTAGGGAAGGGCCTAATTCTGCCACTCGTCAAGGCATGCCCCAAGGGAGACCTCAGCCTCGTTGGTAGTGGCGGAGGATCGAGCAGTTTCGCCCTCAACTGGAAGACTCGGGATCCCGTGGAGTTCTCGGAGGAGTTTGAGATCACGTTCGCATCTGCGTACTCAAGCAAGAACGACCGCCGCTGTGCTGGAATCATCTCGAAGAATGCAGGCGACTCAAAGAAGGAGAGCAACATCAGCATGGCTGTTCAGACCGAGTGTAACAAGCGGTGTTCAGGGCAGCCTTATTCAGAGTGTGGCTGCCCATGTATGAAGACAGGCTATCTGCGTCATAACCAGAGCTGGGCGGAGAAGATCGAGTGTGGGAGTGGGAGCCTGGCAAGTTCCATTGTCGTGTGAGCGTGACACGCTTTTGCTAGCACTCCTGTAAACCATCTCCTGCAGCCAGTCCTGAGTGCTAAGCATCAGTTCGACTTTGCTGTTTAGGGTGCCCTCCGGGCCGCTGTTTAGGACTTGAGACTCACTAGCCGCTAGCCCTTTGAGCCTTCAACCCTGTGGCATACGGCTTGGGATGATTGATGCAGCACTCAATGACTGGTGGAAGGAGATGTCTTCTGCAGCTAGGCAGCTAGCTTCAACTCGCGGCACGAGCATGACCCGTCTGCCACAGTGAAGGTATTTCATGCAGTGTTTAACTCCCACCGTAGTTTTGCAAAGCGCAGGACCCTAGACTCTGAACCTCATTGTGGAAAGTAGATCCCCTAATTTGGGGCCCTATACTACTAAGGGTACTTTATAGGAACCCCCATTAAGGGATCTACCGTTGTGCTAGCTGGTCCGCTCCCTCGCCGCCTTTCTCTGTTGTCTTGAGCGTGAGAATCATCCCTGAAGGGGGAGGTTGAGCTCTGAACGTGGGGTCGTCCAGATGGGCCACGCTGCAAAGAAAGGGTCTGCGTGCAGGATTTAGTGGGTCAGTTTGGGGTTGGGGGCTGAGAAGTCACATCCTGCAGGACTTTCAGTTTAAGGCCAAGGGTGCATTTGCGAGCAAAGTGCTGGGAAACGGAGTTGCTACTCCAAAGCTAAGGTGGTGATCTCGAAAAGTGCAAAACCCTCGGAAGATCTCTGGAAATCGCACCTTGCCAGTGGAGCTTACAAGTCCCAAAGCTCGGTTCCTGGAGGCCTCACGCCGTGTACCTCGATGAGCCGACGGATTGTACTCTCAGCCGGTGTCGGAAAAAGAGGGAAAGTTGTGCAGCTGCTGCAAGAGTGACTATTCGTGGTTTTTTGGCATGCAGTATTGAATGCCTGATATCTCTTTCTTTGACAGTGTGAGATGAAGAGCTTGTACGCAGTTGCGTGACATGGACTGCGGGTTTGTATCTTATTTTGTGTTTTTTAGGCCTGAAAGCGTCAGTCTCATCACTTGTCGGCTTGCGTCCTCGCCGGTGATGGCAAAGCTTTCAGAGTACCCCTACTTCTAGTAGCATCATGTTAATACAGTTGCACCAGAAGGCGGAACAGTGAGGTGAACCAGGCAATCAACCTGATACAGTTGACATGGACTGGAACTGAATCAGCACGTGGCAGGCCCAAACATCCGCATGGGGTGACTGTCTCTCGTGTTGCCCTCGATTATGACCCAAGCAATCCCATGTGGGTGGTTGTCAAAATTATGGTCCTTTTTTGGGTCCCTAATCTAACACGGCACCTTCTATTCAGAGTACCCCAAAAGGGGCCATAATTTTGACAACCACCCATGCAACATGCCCGGATCGCCCGTTGCCAGGGCAAGCACAGTGCAGCGAACAGATTTTCCAATCAAAGACCGCGTGCCGAATACTTGTTTACAGTCGAGAGTCCCACCGCTGGCCAGATGAAGCCTGCGATTTCGTATCGCCGCTTGTTATACACGTGATTTTTTGTAGGCTTCAAATCGTGCGCGATTTGTTTTGCCTCATGTTTTTTTTTTGGTGAGCGTTGCTTGCTTACCAGCGTTGAAGGTAGCGGCGGATCAGGTTTTGTTGACTACGATGTACGACAACATTGGTATGTACGACCGGAAGTTTCAAGAATGCCATGCAGAGCCAACACAATGTACCCAGTCAAGGGAAAGCAACAAATCACTTGCAGCAAAATACCCTGCGGCTACTCACAGCTTGCCTTTGCGGGCGTTGCAGGTTGCAGGAGGCTCAGAGGGGCAATGCCGTCCAGCCGGGGGAGTTGTTGCAAACAACCACTGGTAAGCCTTTGTGTCCTTCAGCCGGTTCTTGTGCACAGGGTCCTGAGCTCTGCAGGGACTTGGTTCACTGCATATTGCTTCTCGATGTTCATAACTGCAAGGCAGACCGGGATGTAGTGCAGTGCTTCATTCTGAAACCTTGACGCTGATGAGTTCGAGCCCAGCACAGCCCTTGCAGCTAGCCTGTTGTCTGGTCGCTGAGGGGCCCGGATGTCTTCAGACGAGGCGCAAGATCAGGTTTTTGAAGGTTGAGAGCATCTTGTCATGACGAAAGGTTGCTTCTGCAACTTTGCGTATCTACTTAGCCAATTTCTGCCATCGATGTGCTTGAGACGGCAGGCTCCATTCGTCATCCCCTCAGCTTTTTTGCTTATGCCTGGATTCCGAAGACAGCTGATCCCCGCTCCTCAGCTTGACACCACCACAAGTCTGGATCTTGGAAGTCCCGAATTTTCAACTTTCAGCGTCGCTCGTGCGCGTGTGTGAGCTTCCGGCACTACAAGTAGTGAGATGACGATGATGATGATCAAGGTGTTGATCGCATTGGAGACAACATTCACGCTTGATCAGGCAGCAGAGACTGCCAAAGATGCTTCCTTTCCAGACACGGGCGATGCGGAGGAGGTCGGGAAAGTTGTTTTGGCCTTTGGTTCTGTGATGTGCAAGGTAACCCTAAACCCAAGACCCTAAACTCTGAATCCCTAAACTCATCAACCTAACAGCTTGTAAGTTTTTGTGGCTTGCAGTGTTTTGGCCGGCACCGTCGAGCCTCGCCGTTTTAATTTCCAGGCAGATGACCTTTTTGCTGACTACCACCCTCAAGCAGCCGACAAGGACGGGAGACGGGCTGTGCCTCTGGAGTCGTTTGATAAACCTTGAGTACTTGGATCTTTTGGTGCCATCTCAAAAGCAGCAGTGAGTTGTAGGAATCCACTGATCTGTCTCGCTTGCAGCTCACATGCTCAGTGACTCACCAGGCATGACCCATCGTCTTGACCTGCCTAGTATCGTCGACATCGCACCGTTGTGGTTGACCTGGTTCGCCGCAAACTGCGTTCGTGCTGGCTGGCAGGACTTGAGTCAGTCTTTTCCGGAGATGGAGGAGCTCAATCTGTGGGCTTACCAAGGGTCTCGTCTTCTCCCTTGCACCCAAGACTGGCATTGCGCAAGTCCTCACTTGGATGCAGAATTCCGAAAGCCGGAGCATCCTATCGTCCTGAGCCCTTTAAGGCGGTAAACCCTGCGATGCCCATGAGACTCGCAATGTCAGTGCGGGAAAGGTCCCGTTTGGTAGGAGTTCAGGCGGAGCAGTCTCTCAGACTAAGGCAGACAAAGGCCTCGGAATAAAAGCCCGCTGTAGGAACCCTAAACCCTAAACCCTAAACCCTAACCCCTAAGCCCTAAGCCCTAAGCCCTAAACCCTAAACCGTTTCGAAGCCCTGCAGTCCGGTGAGGATGGAGACGCCACGGAGACCTTCTTGGAGACTCAGCTCGAGAAGAGTGGAGAGGTTGGATCGTTTCGTGTTACGGGGGTAGCTTTTTGGCCAAAGCGCAGACAGCAGAACCTTCGTTAACCTGTGCAGGAGCTAGATCTGGAGAAGGAGCTGGAGAAGGAAGTGGATGCAGCAATGGAGGAATTGTCGCCTGCCGCTGCAGAGGTCGGGTGACGGCCCTCAGCAAGTTTGCTTCTCTGGTAAGTTTGCTTCTGTGGCGAAGTGCTAATGCTTTCATGTCATGTCCGCAGCAGCCTGTAACGAAATCGGGACCAGGGTGCCAGGGTGCAGGAAAAGTCGAGGGGGAAATTCAGTCGTCGAGTGTTCAGCTGATGTCTTGACCTCGAGCTTGCAGACGAAATCAAGTGTACTGAAGCCTAGTTTTTTCTATGCTTGTCACGCAATACTTCCGCAGTCTTCAACTTGCCTTCCAACCGCATCGGGGGTGTGTGGATTTTGTGTCTGTGTCTGTGGTTGCTGTTGAAGGTCTCAGGTCTTGCGTTGCTTGTGAGGCTTTGGCTACAGTTCAGTTGCATTTTCGAAGCATTCATTGGCCCTTTGTGGGCTCCAGATTAACCGTTGGGAACAGGTGGATGTGGCGGACAAGGGGGCGACCAAGCCTACGATGGCTCAGGTGCCGTACTGCAGTAGGAAGATTTGGTGATACAGGAGATTTCGGATCAGCCCTTGTTACATTCAGCTTGGGCGGTTAGGGAGCCTGTGCTTGGTTTCGGAAAGGCCTCGGGCGTGCAGGTCCGTAGGTGGGGAGCCTTGCAATCCGGGCCAGGGAACGGCGACCTTGGAGACTGAGCTCGAGAAGAGTGGCGAGGTTGGATCATTTCGTGTTTGAAGCGGGAATTGTCGCAGGTAGAAGTCCGTCCGTTGCAGAGAGGAGATGAGAAGAGCAAGCTTTGGAACCTGTGCAGGACCTTGACTTAGAGAAGGAGCTGGAGAAGGTAATGGAGGCAGCCATGAGGGGGCCGGACGAGGCTGGCTGCGGACTTGCAGTGTCCACGTTTCAGATGATTGTGGCAAGCGAAGCCTTTTTCCGACCTATGTACTGGTGCCCATTAGGCTCCATCGTCCCAGCGGCTGGGTCCGTCTCAGGAGTCGGACTTGGAGAAGGAGCTCGAACGAGTGATGGAGGAAGAGCTGAAGATGGATGAGGAGTTATATATACATATACATACATAATATATATATATATATATATATATATATATATATGTATATATATATATATATATATATATATGTTATAGCACACGTGTGTGCATCTCTCTCTCTCTCTCTCTCTCTCTCTCTCTTTCTCTCTCTCTATATATATATTTATTTATCCGCAACTGTTCTTTGCATCGGGGATCTCTGCAGAGACGGTTTCCCCTGCTGCATTTTGACCTTAGACTCAAAGCACCAGGATCTGCGCACACCGTCGAAGGAGGCCAACCAAGTGACAAGTGTATCATCTCACAAGGGTTTCAATCAATTTCCCGAGAAAGTTTACTATTGCAGGCATCCAGACTGACCCATGAGATTTGTACGTGAACACAATCCCGGAGGCGCGCCGAGCGGCAGACAAAGAAAGTCCGCCGAAAGCGAGCCCACCGAAGGCGAGCTCACCCTGATTTTCCAGTGTTGCGTGTTCGTTCCTGGTCTTTCGGAAGCAAGGCTGGATGTGTCTAACATGTGTGACAGTTTTATGGGTGCGTAAACCCAGCAAGAAATGATGTAAGATATGGTATGTAGCCTTACCTTTGGTTAGTAGGGAATGGAAGAATGGTAGTAATAGTAGTTATAATTTTACCCCTTTCCTCCATTCCCTACTAACCCGAGGTAAGTAACCCGACCCGAATTTGCAGATGCTCTGAAGCCAGGAGAAGGACGTCGACGAAACCCGCTCAGGGCTCGGATTCCTTCAGAAACCCAGCTCCCCTCAGAGGAAGGAGCTGCTCCTAGGTTTCGCTGTTTGGAAATTCTGGAGGATGGCCGATATGCAAGTTGAGAGCTCAAACGCCGGTTTGAGACCGCTATCGAAGCTCCTTATTCTGCTAGCCGGGACTTGGCTTGTACGTCACAGACGCAGACAAAGGTGTGAGCGTCCACACATGCATACACATAGTCAATCTCCCACCATAGCCCCCTCTCACAGGCTTGCGTCGTGCGTTAGTGAGTTTGAACGAGTTGCTTCTCTTTACAATGATCTGCCCAAATCTGATGCCTGTTGCAGTGGTTCCCAGTCCCGAAGAGCGAGGGCTCAGGTGCTGCTGTGGCTTTCCGTTTGAAAAGGAGAAACTGAGGTCTCGTCAATAAGAAATAAGAAACGGCACAACTTTGCCTCCGGAATTCGACAGAGCCCAATAGAGTAGCCATGTGTCGTATGGTAGTCATGCAAGCAAGAGTTCGCTCGTATTTTGTGGCGATGTAAGGGAGCTCCTGTTTCATTTAAGCAGAATCGAAGGAACTCCTTTTTCTCAGAGCCAGCTTTCCTGTTTGGTGGCAGGTTGTCTGCATGTGGGAGGCCCTTAGAGCTCCACAGCGGGTAATCTCAGGGGCTCAGTCACGGAACGTGGGAGGCTAAGCTTTTGTAGATGTTTATTCTATGGCCGTTCATATCAGTCTATGTGTATACACAGTTGTACACGCATGAACGTAAGTAACGTAAACACATGGGCATATACGCACATCACTCACATATGTAGATAAACTTGTTTGTGTTTCAGGTTCGAAGGTCAGATGGTACGTGCTAGTTCCGGTCGACATTCAGAGCTTCATGTAGTGAGATTGTCGATGCCCAGGCTTCACGCTTGACAAGGATGGCAACAGGGTCCACAAATGGAAGGCCTGTGTCTCTCTGGGTCACAGTGGGGCAAGTGGGTGGTGTGCGTGGGATCGAAAAAGCGGAAGCAGGCGTCTGTTCTTGTGAGCTCGACCTTTGCCTGTTAATTTAGCAATTTTCTTTCAGGCTTCGTGACAGCCTGGGGCCTCGAGTGAAGAGTTCTATAGGCACCTTGATTCCAAGGGGCTGTGAATGTGTCGGGCTTGTGGCCAGGTCGACTATGCCGCCCGAGCTGGGGGTGGCCGAGCCATGCTACTTGGCCGCTATGGAGCTGGCAGAAGACCATGCGGCCATGCAGCCTGTTCTGGTGTGTTCCACACATCGCGGAGTTTTCCCAGCCAGCAGTCGAGAGCGCATGAGAGCCTTGCGAATCACTTCTGGTCATCGCTCCGAGTTTGCAGTTTCGGGCTTGTGATCTAGGGCCTATGGGGACGAGAATCAAGCACGGTGCGGTGCTGCAAGATGATCTTCAAACTGGAGCCCAATCACACTTTGCATGTTCTGCTTTTCGGGCATTCCGACGTAGGTGTCGAGACTCCCAATGCCTTGAGAGATGCGAGCAGGCTCCTAGGGACGGGGGCATGTCTTCTGCCACGAAGTTGCGATCACTGTTGACGATCATGTCGGCATTGAACTGCGATGTGTGGCCTTGAGCCTTCTTTGCAAAGCCGCAGGTCCCTTGGTCTCAGGATCTAAACCCCTAAACCCCTTAACTCTAAACCCCAAGCCTTAAAAGCCGTAAACCCTTTCACGGTTCGGCAACCCTAAGCTATCGGGCCATCTGAAAACCGCAGCTCCTTTCCGATCCATCCGAGGCTCCAGAGCCCTAAAACACCAAACAATAATTACTTTAGTGATACTTTAATACTACAATGATGATGCCATACAATACTATAATGATACTGTACAGTATACAGTATTATAGTGATACCATACACACACTATATTGATAATTTAAGAAAATTAGAATATTACTATAGAAATACTATAATGATATTATACTGTTATGTTATATTGCTATAATGAGACTATAATACACTTCTGCTATACTTGTACATTCAGCCATTGAGTCGAGTCTTTGCGCCCTGGGTGCTTTATTTCGGAGGCCGGCGTAGCCGTCATTGAGAAGGGAGCGCTTCGCATCGGCCGGCGTGTCTTGGACAAGGAGGCCCCCGGGTCGGGGAGGGACCTTTGAAGAGGGTTTAGGGTTTAGGGTTCGGGGTTTAGGGACCTTTGAATTTAGGGGCCAGGGACCTTTGAGGAGGGTTTAGGGTTCAGGGTTTATTGTTCAGGGTGTAGGGTTTAGGGACCTTTGAAGCTGGCTAGGGCGGCTAGGTGGGTTGTTTTGTGCTTCTTTGGCAAGGCGTTTTTTCGATGGTCCAGGAACGTGGGATGGAACGATCTGAGGGTTTGGAGCAAAGACTGAAGAGTCAGTCGTCAACATGTGCGAGTCAAACCCGTACGCTCCAACTTCCGAAGTCCTTCTAAGGTAGAAGCCAGAAAGTTGGAGTATGATTATCCTAACCCTTCTATGGTAAATTAGGGTATCCTACCATGAAACCATATTCCAACTTTCTGGAGTTCCCTGTAAGATGAAAACTCTGCCGGAAAAGGGCAACCTCATGATCCTTTGGCTCGGGCCCAAGCGCACCGAAGCTCTGCAGTCCGTTTGTTCAATCTGGTTTTGTCCGACACTCTTTTTCGGGATGGCAACCGACATCAGTTATTCGATGTTTTTCGATGCACACAAATACAAGAGATTGCTGGACATGTGTCAGCCACGCACCCGCGCTGTACATTGCGGTCTTTGGTGGTTTCGGGCTGGATCCGCGGATCAGCCGCACTGATGTAGCTCTAACTTGAGGATGAGCTTCAAAGCATTGGTTCCTTTTAACTTTGCTTGTGGTGACTGCGTGTGGCGGTTGTGTTGAGCATCTTGGAGCAGTGCTTCAAGTTCTGCACCTGCGGTTGGTACTTGGTGATTCGGAAGTTTTATGGTTTTCAGCTTCTGCTGGGGGTTTGGTAAGATCATCTGCCAAGCTTTGGGAACTGGAGCAGGGTGCTGGGTCACAGCATGTTGCACGCCGCAGTTGCTTTTCTTGTCCCCTGACCCGTAGGCCGCACGTAGACATGTGCGGCATTTGTTTTGGCCTGACAAAGCTACAGTATTCAGTATGTTCCTAGCATGCAGCGTGACTCTTTGCAAGCAGCACAGACCAAACCCAGCCCTTGACCGCAGCCCCAGAATCTAGCCTGCAAGGGCCCAACTCTCACATTATATCCGTGCGGAATGCCAGCGTGCACCCAGATGCGTTCCCTACCACTGTCACAGCAGGCAGGAAGTTTTGGGCCGTGTGCTACTGGGACGCAGGGCTTCCACCTGGCGTAGGAGATGGACCAAGACGGACTTGGTTTGTCGTGGCCTGCGCCAAACCCCCCAAAAAATCACACCTGCTTTAACTCCGGGGCTGATTCAGAGCGACCCCAATCAGTGTGGGGCCTTGATACCGAAGGGTTCAATGGTGCAGGATTCGTTTCATCACCGATGTCTTGAGCCTAAGTACACCAGCCGAAAGAGTTGCACGCAACTGACCACGTTGCTTTTGTGAATTTTACTAGCTGTTGCTGGGGTTCAGCCTAACGACGCGTGTCTAGATTCTCGTGGTAAGAAGGTTCAAGAGCCAGCAGCGGAGCTCGAAGCCGGAATGGTGTTTGCCGAAGCCCCGAACAGGCAAGATGGACTCGGCGGTCCATGCTGCTCAGTTTGCGTACGCGGGCCCACCGAAGAAGATCGGCTGCGGGATTCACCACAGTGCTCCGGACCTGCATTGACCAGCAATGCTATCATAGAACCCCCCCATATCACCCCTAAAAGGAACCCTATTATAGAACCCCCACAATACCCCTAAAGGGAACCCTATCATAGAGCTCAAGGCACGCCATGGCCGGAAAACATCTTGTGCTTGACTTGTTGGAGCCAGGTTCGGAATCCTTGTTCCCTCGCCTCCTTTATAAAGCCTGGATTCCCGGATGCCCTTTCGTGAAGTCAAGCTGATCTTCAATTTTGCCGAGGTGTCAGCATCTCCAACCTGGCCTCTCCCGGCGAATACCTGTATGAGGATACCGCTCCGCTGCTCTACGGTTGGGGGCGCAACGTCTACAGCGTAGTGGGCCTGGGGGAGGAGGTCCGTTCTGCGAACGTCCCAAGCCACATCCGCTGCCCAGACTTCGAGGCGCTGCCAGGTGTCTACGAAGTCGCCTGCGGCCACAGCCACACGCTCTTTTTAAGGAAGACGCAGAATGGCCTTGGGCCGGGGGGGGACGTCTACGGCTGCGGCCTGGGAAATCGAGGGCGGCAAGGCTACCGAAACCCGGATGCAGACGACGATGATACGCCCGAGGTGGAAGACATCTGGTACGTTCCGACCCCCAAGCCCATTCCGATCGGGAAGGGTGTCGCCGTAGTGCGCATTGTCTGTGGTTCGGATCACAGCATGGTGCTGGACATGCATGGCCTGATCTACGCGTGCCTCGGGCCGCAACTAGCCACCCATCCCCGGGGCCCCCATATTTGATCTCAGGTCCTGAGCTTTATATGTCTTTGATTTCTGTCGTATGCGGAAGCATGATTGCATCTAGTGCTTCCCATTTCAAGCTTTGTTTGCAGCCGTTCTGTCAAGCAGTTTTTTTGAAGAGCTCTCATGAACGCTAGGCACATAAAGGGCTGCTTCGGTTCATGCTTGAGCATCTCTGTGCTTCAGCTCGGCGCTCTCAGTTTCCGCTGCCCCGAACCATGCGAAGGTGGGGCCAGAACGGCAGCGGCCAATGCGGTGTTGGACGCGTGGGTGACGTTTTGTCTGCAGAGCGAGTGGTGATGCCCACCATCAAGGGAGGGCAGGCAAGGGACAAGTGAGTGGTCACGAGGTTTGAGGGAGTTCAGGCTTCGGAGAGCTCGTGAGCTGCATTGTCATCGTCTGCTCTCTGCAGGTTGAGGGTTTCAGGGGTGTTGTGTTTGCTTTTCAGTCCTATCTCCCGGTGAGGTGTTGGTTGCTCACATGGCCGCCGGCAGCCAGCATTCGATGTTCGTCAGTGCAAAGGAGCCCTTATAAACACAGCAATTGCCTTATCAACCTTTCACTTCCTCTCCTGCGCTGAAGCCTTCCCTATGTCCTCTGTGGAGGATAGCAAGATGGGAAGTACCTCAGGCGACGGGGGCCTGGGACTCCAAGGGCCTCGCGCCCAAGCGGCCAAGCCCTTAGTCACTGCTTGGCTCTCTGCTCTCGATCTCACAGGTGGGAAGGTCTACGTGTGGGGCTGCAATGCGGAAGGCCGGATGCGAGCAGACTCCCAAGTCAATATTCCGACCGACTAGCTTGCGCTTCGACCCACCGCCAGCACCAGATAACAGTGTCTTAGTCAAAGAAGATGAATCCAGACTTCTTTATGAGATATGTGCTGATCGTGCTAGTTGATCGATTCCGTGCTGTAGGTCGCCTCGCGCGTTTCGGCCGCTGAATTCGAAACTGAAAGCTTTGGGCAGGGCGACTCGGTCTCGGCCACGACGAAGACTCCGTGCTGGTGCCAGTGGTGGTGCCTGGGCCCGTTGCGTTGCAAGGAACTTCAGTGGAGGGCTAGTTGACCCTGCGGCCTCCAGGGGTTACGAAGATGGTGTAAGGTTCCTGATTCAAGGCCCTAAAAGGCCCTAGCTGCCGCGCCTACAGTAGCGCCTCAAGTCTAAATGTCCATGGAAGATGGTCTGCCAACCCGGTGAGGTCGATGCTCTCCAGACAACGAAGGTCGCCCTCTCAGCAGCTGGAGAAGCACACACCGGCGTGGTGGATATGAACGGATCCTTGGCGCTGCCTTCGTCCAATGATTGGCTTGAGATTTCTAAACGTATTCAAGTCGAGTGTTGGGACGAAGAGTTTATCCACGGGACCTCACCGCTTCATCTAGACACCTTTCACCGAAAATAGGGGACCCTAATATATAGCACCCGAAATAGTAGGATCCTTATGTAATGGACCCCAACATAAGGTACCCCCTAAGCTCCCAGATCCTGGGATCCCGCTTCTGTCCCCCAGTGTTGAAGATCCCGGTTTCAAAAGGCCCTCCGGCTGCCTGGTTTCTGGAGACTCTCTTGGGTTTGCTCCTGTTCGTAACGTTTCGGACCTTGATGGGACATGGGCCTTCAAGTTCCTTCAAGATTTCCCTTACGGGTTCCTTTAAGCGATCCATAGGAGTTATGGGTTTCAGAGTTTAGGGCGTTTTTGAGTGCCCATATCTCTCCCAGCCTTCAGCCCAATTCCGGCCCCTGGAGGTGGGCTCTGGATGTGGGGCCTCGGCTCTTACGGCCGCCTGGGCCTGGGAGAGCCCATTGATGTGCCGCTGCCTCGGAGGACGATTTCTGGATCATCCCATTTGGGAGTTTTCGAAATTAGGGGACCCTCATATAGTACCCTAACTAGTAGGATCCTTATTATAAGGACCCCAACATAAGGCCCCACTCCAAGACGTAGTTGTGCCAGGATACCGATTCCAGAGGAGCTCCCGGTGACTCGTCTCTGCGATGCTGGGCCAGGGACCAACAAAATTAAGCTGCCAACTGGGTCAAAACGGAAGGCCGAGCCGCATAGCCCAAGAAGCCCAGCAGCAGCTTCTTCCTATTCTTTGGGTCTCAGAGATCTTGGCGAGGGTAGCTCGTAGCTCTTTCCTACCATGCCCTTGGCTTCTGCGAGCTTCAGCCGGGGATCCCCTGCATCTAAACTTCATCTAAAGAGCTCTCAGGTCATGCAGCTGGCCCTTGGCAGCTTCCACAGCGTAGCGTTGGTGGGTACCGGTCGAAGCCAAGCTCTTTACACCTGGGGCCCTATGACTGAACTGGCTCCATTCTGAGCAGCATTCGGAGGGCTTCCTTCGATTCCTTCGGATGACGCACTCTTACCGTGTCATAACCTCAAGTAGGATCCCTTTTTCGGGTACTTCTGACTCTACTTAAGCCGACTTTGTTTGTAGAGCTCTTCTCAGGGCCGGCCCGTGTCTTTTGCATGTGAAACAAGCCGCCCTGCCGGAACCCTACCCTTCTACAACTCGGAGTGAGGATGAACAAAAGGTGGGCTTCGGATTGCCGGGTCATGAAGGATCTTCATAAGCAGGAGCCCCATATCAACAGGCATGCATCCGGGTTTCGTGATGTGGAGCGCACCTTCCTCTACTACCTGTAGCCTGAGAGGCAGAAGATGGGGAGACCAGGAGGGTTGAACATGAGGCGGGTAGAACATGTGTATGTATGTATATATATATATATATATATATTTATATTAATATATTAATATATTATATGTATGTATGTATGTATGTATGTATGTATGTATGTATGTAGGTACATACATACATACATTGCATGCATGCATACATACATACATATATACACACATACACATGTCAAGCCAAGGCTACGGCGAAGCTCTTGGCAACAAGGCAGGGTTGTTCTGTGGGATTTCGAGTGCACTGATGCTTCTGGCATTGAATCGTCTGACTTTCAGGTTTTGCGAACGTAGGGTCTGCATCAGAACTGCTCTTATGGGCATCCTTTATGCTGCAAGCTTTTGGTCTGGTCGTCTTCAGCTTGGTGAAGCTTGATTGGAACCCAGTAGCGTTTCACAAGTATGCGGTCTGCAGCAAGCTTCTGCTTAGTTGACCAACGAGGTGTGAAAGCCGTCTTTTGTGACAAGAATTCTGCCGGAACACTTCGCAAGCTTTCTCAACACCTCCGATGTCGAAGGTGCAAACCTAGCGGACGAAGGCTAGGCACTGACTGGATCGCCATATAACTCAGTTCGAAACACCAAGGTGGGCGGCGGTGTCTCCCCGACTCCGCTTGTTGTGGGACTGGAAGAACACAGCCGCCAGCTTAGAAGAGCTTGGGACAACATCTCGTCCATGCAGAAAAAGCCACGAACGCAGAGGCAGTGAACCCGGAAACCTTAGCGCCTTCAACCTGCAACGCTCAAGCCCGCAGACCGACAGAGCCCCTGTGCTCCCAACTCCAGTCCCGGCCGAGGCAGGGCGCAGGTCTTGCAGATTGCTGCCGGGCCCTACCACACCCTGGACGCTGGGATTTGAAGATTCCGATGGCCAGCATACCTCGATCGATGCTTCAATAGATTGATAGATGGATAGATTCGAATCACAAATATTTACAGGCATGCACGTACGTGCCACAGCTTTATATACACAGTTACATACATAATGCATGCACAATCAAAAGAGACATGCATGCAAAGGCATAAGCATTTTTTGCGAATTCGACGGAGCCTCGAAGTTATCAGATGTTGGACGAAGACCAAAGCCCATCCTCGCCAGTCAGAGCAGCAGCAGACGGTAATCGACATAAGGCAGCCCTGTGTAGCAGTGCGTGGCTGAACACCTCTAAGTCGGAATCCATGCTAGCGGAACGCTCCCATTGCAACAGCGAGCAAACAAGCCTTGGCCCACATCCGCATCATGATATCATGAGAGATCGCGCCTGCATCAGAATTCTATCCTACATCAGCTGAGGTCCTCATGGAGGATGGGGAGCTGATCTCCTTTGGTCAGGGCTCCTCCGGTCGCTTGGGCACAGGCGCAAAGCGAGAGCGAGGTAAGACAGGAATCCTGCAGTGGAAGACGTAGCTTGTCGTGCGATTGCTGCTTCGTGATTAGTTTCACAGTTGCCTCTATGCCCCAGTAAAGAGCTACAGGCGAAGCTGCTTAGAAAGTTTTGCAACCTCCCTTCAAGCACCGTCAAGCTTCCGGGCTCTTCCATTTCGCGGGTCGAGGCTGCACTATCCACACCTAACCCGAATCCTCTCCAATGCAGTGCAGGAACCCTAAACCCAAACCCTTAAACCCTAAACCCTCCAGGGGCTTCCAAGAATCACAAGTTGCCCGTGAAGCTTCCCGGGGCGCATGGCTTTGCCACGAAGCTGCGCAACACTGACAGGTCCGGGGGGGGGGGGGGTAAAAACCCTAATTAACTCAAAACCCTAAACCCCGAACCAAAACCCTAAACCCTAAACAAACAAAGCCCTAAAGCCTAAACAAACAAAACCCTAAACCCTGAACCCTAAGCTGTTGGGATACCGAAGTCGCAGATCTGCGTTTGTTTGATGCGGGAGCCCAGAGCACGGCCTGGGCTTAAACCCTACGTAGAACCACTCTACGGTTGCTGGTATAAATCCTAGGGTTCCTTTTAAAGGGATTCATAAGGGTACTATTAGGGATCTATAGGGATTTGGGTTTAGGGTTATGATATAGAAATCCTTGCATTACCTTAAGGACCCTAAACTATGGGAATTATGGTATAGTCCTTATTGTGGGTAATGCAGGATTTATATCATCAACAGTAGTACCCCAAAACCCCAAGAAACCTAGAGCCCCAAACCCTAGAACCTATAGGCGTCTGGAGCGACAACGCATCACAGGTCAGCGGAAAAAGCTTCCCAGCCTCGGTCCCCGAGCAATGCGCAGAAGAGGACCTTCCGCGCCGGTTGAGAAGTCGCGGCGAATTGTACAAGAATAGCAAGATGCTTAGTCATCAGTAAGACTGGTAATCTGAGGAACACTCTTACTAAAAGGAAAGTAATACTATTGATATCTTGTTAATAAGTGTCATAAAATTACAGACTGTTGTAGTCGACGGCTCTGTTTCGGGCCTTTGAACTGTGGGTTTTGTTGGCTTGTCCAGGACCTTGGAAGACCCAGCGGAGCGATCCATGATGCTCAGCTGCATAGCTGCTACATCAGAACTCCGGATACGGTGAAAGAGATGCTTTCATATCGGCCCTGAACCCTAAACCATAAACCCCTCAAGCCCTGCAGACTGCTGTCTCTGGAGAAAAGGAGTTAAAAAAACACCCTCAAGCCCAGCAAGGTAGGCACTTGCTCCAGACAATGTAGGGAAAGACGAAGAAGCTTCAGAGACGACGCTGCTTAGGTCGCTGGTCAGACGAAAGCTCTGGGACTCTCCAAGCAGAGGGGTGTTGAAACCTCTGTGAACCTTTAAAAGCTGCTACTACCTTATCAGGAACCGACAAAAGCCAATAACAAGCGAAACAGAGAGGGTATATAACTATATAACTCCTTGTTGGCTTACTTGAAGAGGCGATGACGGGACATCATGACATATCCCAACCTTACAGTTGTTGGTTTCCTACGCTATCCTTGCTGAGGAAGCGGACGGCTGGCACAAGCGCCATTGGCAATGGAAGGCAAGGTTGGGAGATCGCCCAGCTCAAGTGCCGCTCATCTCGACACGACGATTCTTCTTGTGCTCAAACCTAAACCCAAAAAACCCTAAACTCTTAGCCCTAAACCCCCTTAAACTGGCCCTAAACCCTGAGCGCTGCCCCGCCCCAAGAGCTTTCCTACTGCAGATGCGACTGGACCTTTAAAAGAGGCATCTAACACAGAATCTGGACCCTGAGCCTGAAACGCTGGGCCTGGGGTCTAGTTCGACTGCAGACCTTCTAACCGAACCCGGGCTTATTCTTCTTATTTTGAGTGAGCTTGATTGTGCTCTGCCGTGGCTGCCCATAGACATGTCGTCCTGTCTCCGGAACTCTCTCCCTTCCGTTTTCTCGGCTCCCGTCCGGTCCCAACGCTCTGAGCTCTGCTATTCAGGGGGGGAGGCGAACTGTTCGCCGAGGTGGCGACATGTTCACCGCCGCCGTGTCCTGGCAGGGCGCGTCCTCGGCCGGAAGGTTAGAGTCAGAGGGGCTTCTGATCTGTTGCAGGCAGGTTCATTCTCTCTTAGTCTTGGCATTGCTTCTTGTAGACCTCGTGCTGTTGGGCGGACGCTTCAGCAGCAGTGCAGTTGAGCATACTGACTGAACTTTCTTCCTTGCCACTAAAAACGAACTTCCCGCATCTTTGCAATGAGGCTGTACACCTGGGGCTCTGGGGCCCGCGGTCAGCTGGGCACTGGCAGTCTTCAGGAGCGCATTGTTTGTGGCCTCTTCCATATAAAGAGGACCCATCCGAGTACAGAACCCACGCTGTTCATGCACAGCCAAGACTCGTCCCTTGACTCTAACCCCTAGGCCCGAGAGTTAGTGGGTTCTGGGCTCGAGATTCCTCCAGGGAGCTGCGCACCTCGGAGTTGATACGTCCCCATATCTGAGTCTTCTTGAACACTCGGCTCGGAACCCAAAGCCAGAAACCTCCCGAAAGCTTCCGAAGCAACGTGCACTCTGCAGGACAGCTGGGTGCCGAAGGCCGGGTTCGACACTTGCACCGCAGCTTCACAGAAGCCCTCGGCAAAGCGGTGGGGAGCCATTGAGAAACACCAAGGGAGGGGTCAGCCTGAACCCGACACCATGAATTTGGGAACCTAGAACCGAATCAAAGACAAGAAACGTACCCGAGCAGCGAAGCGTCGAATCCAAGCCAGGGCCCCTGAAGCGCTTGCAGGCGGTCCGTTTTCCATCGGGTCGGCTGGTTCGGTCCATCGCCTGTGGGCGAGAGCACTGTGTCCTTCTTTGGCAAAGACGGGAGGGGGCCAAGGCCCAAACCTAAAACCCTAAACCCAGTCCTTTGTTGGCTCGGGTTGGATTCTCGTTGTGAGGGTTTGTCGTATGCATTCTGAGTTGGGGTTCAATGTGGATCCTCTTCATGTGAACTTCAGTGAGTTGTCGCTGGAGTTGCCGAGGGAACAGGTTGTGGGTGTTTGTATGTGGCCAGGGTTATTCTTCTCCAGGGCAGCAGTCTCCAGCGTCCAAGGTTCTCCCGAATCGGAATTAGGACGGCATCCGCAGTCGTAGAAGAACACCAAGAAAGGCCCTAAACCCCAAACCCTACAGGCCTTACTCGAGGGGTCTTTCTAAACGCCTACATGTGACCCAAGGTTGCCATCACCTACGACGGGAATGCCTACGCCTGGGGGAAGGGGGACAAGGCTTGCGCCCCGTGAAGCGATTTCGGGGGGGCTTGAGGCTCAGAGGGGCTTTGCTGTCTGGTCCATAGGGAATCCAGGAATCCACTTGGAGGATCATGGGATTATGTCAGTGAAGATATAGGTAGCTTCATCAGAATCAAACATGTGACGGTTAGAATAGTTACTTTGTTAAAGATCCCGGTTCCCAGGATCCTTTAAGTAGACAGCGGAAGTGCTAGTCTGCCCGCAGGGACAGCTCGGTGTCGGGCGCAACGAGGACACTGCGGTACCGCGATGCCCGGCTGCATGTGGTCGTCTGGCACGGTGCTTCGGGATTCTAAGCAGCTGAGTGCTTCTGTCTCTCATCGATTTCAGCTTGGAGCCACACCCATGACGGAAACATTCGCAAGAGTCTCGGACGCTATTCCTCAGTCTCGCCTTGATGTCTATGTACTCCCTCGGCCGTGAAACTGGAAATGAAGCAACCGGCAAGGAGACCAGTGGAAGAAACAAAGGACGAAGTGAGACAAAAGGAACAACACAATGAAAGAAGAGAAGTGTGGTGGTTGGTGGTTTCCTTCTGCTCACTTCTTCTGTCTTTCGCCTTTTCTGTTTACCTTTTGCTGAATTCATGTTTCCGCTCTTTTCGTGTAGGCACATGATGACTCAGCAACAAGACAAAGAAACGAGTTCGCTTCGATCTTACATTCGTTCCCTTGTGCTCTAAGTAGAATGTGAGTGACCTGAGTTGGAATCAACGAAGCAGCGAAGGGAAGACGAACGATTTCGCACGTATCTTAATCAAACAACTCCGTGTAGATGTTTTAGTTCATTAAACCAGAAGCAAGCACTCACTTCCTTGAAAGGTGATACTAGATTACTAGATGGTTGGGTGCCCGGTTCCATGGTGAGAACAAGAAAGCAAACGAATGAAAAGAGTGCGTGTTTCTCTTCTTTAAATTAGGCCACAGGAAAGCAAAACATCCATGGAATTTCAGGAGCTGCTGCTTAAGAAATATACCTGAAATCATATCAGGGATCCTGTTGCACTTTAAAGCATTTAAAGCATATTCCATATTGAATTCGAGGCCCCTTAGCGCTTCTGAGGACTCGTCCAGGGCGTCGCTGATGTCCTCGTCTGTGCGGCGGGAGAGGCCGGTCTAATGAGATGCTCACTTGGAGGGTCGGTGGACTTAGGAAGTAGTTACTTTGTAGACTTTACACCCCAATTAGGATCCCTGTTACGGCGCCTGTTAGTCTACCTGTTACCTACTTACTAACTCCCCCGACCCTCCAAGCAGATCCTCCATTCCATGTGGCCAGGGCTGGGTGAAGGTCGGGATCGTCGTAGTGTACCACATGGGTGGTTGTCAAGATGATGGTCCCTTTTTGGTTCCCTATTATAATGCGGCACCTATTATTTAGGGTACCCATAAAGGGACCCTAATTTTGACAACTACCCACATGCCTCCGTGCCCTCCAGTCCAGCTTTTCGCCGCAGGACCACACGGGAGCCATCTGTCGCGGCGAGGACGACAACGAACTGCGACCGAGCTGCAAACCCCTTTGAACCTTCAAACTTGCCTGCAGGGAGCTTGGATGGTCTGATGAACTGGTGATGAAAGCTGCAGAGATGCGGGTTATCTGAATTTCCGCGGCACAGTCCAGTAAGGCCAAAGGCTTCCAGCCCTGAGCTGCTCAGAATTGCTTCTCCTTCTCGGGATACTCTCGGAGCTGGAGAGGTTTAGGGGTTTAGGGTTTCAGGCCGTTTAAGGGTTTGGGAGCAGCAAGGGTGTCGTGCCAACAACTGCCTTACCATTTCCAGGATCTTCCTCGATCCTTCCGCCTTGAGTCTCCAACCTGCAACCGTTGAAGACCCGCTATGCCCTGAAGCCTTGACCCCTGAAACCCTCAATTTTTGAAACCTATTTATAACCCTGAAACCCTAGGCCCTAGAGCCTTGAAACCCTCCACCCGAAAGCTTACAGCCCTTAAAGTCAAAGCCCCCCCAAACCCTCTTGTGGCTCTCAGGTACCTTTCTTGTCTAGTGCATCTCCGCATCCCTAAACCCTACACCCCTCAACCCGAAAGCCCAAAACCGACCCCCCAAACCCTAAACCCCTAAACCCCCTAACCCCTAAACCCCTATTTCCCCAAACCCCTAAACCCCTAAACCCCTAAACCCCTAAAGCCCCAAACCCTAAACCCTGAACCCTATAAGGTACATGTGGGGCTCCTCGGAGATGGGCAAGCTGGGCCTTGGGGCCGCCGGCCTCTCCTCCAGCGACTCGCCGCCGGCGGTCGTCAAGGCGACGCGAGCTCGGGATCCTATGGGAGTTTCCGAAAATAGGGGGGGTACCTTATTTTGGGGTCCTTATAGTAAGGATCCTACTGTTTAGGGTACTATATTAGGGTCTCCCTATTTTCGGAAACTCCCATATAGGGGCCTTAATAATTAGAATAGGGTTCCTTCAGGGGGTCCTTTAAAGGGGCAGTAGGGTTCCATGGTATAGGGGCCCTAGTAATTGAGATAGGGTTCCTTCACAGCTTCACGGGGTCCATTAAAGGGGTAGTAGGGTTCCATGGTATAGGGGCCTTCACAATTAGAATAGGGTTTTGGGCCCGTTATACTACAATTGTAAAGAGGAACCCCACAAAAGTGGTGCAGGGTTTCAGGAACAACACGGTATACGTATTATGGCAGTATATTCTAGCCGAATGACAACAAGGCTCGTAGGAGTATATTGAAGGAATGGAACACGTGGACCAGAATGGCAAATAATGTCGTGTTCTGATAGGGAAACATTAGCATTCATTACTCAGACCCAGGCTTTTGTTGGAGGCTTCGCTCAGGCATCGCGATCTAGGGCTGTTACCGAGCTGTCAACTTTCGAAGCATAGCTGCGAGATGCCACAAGTTCTGCGCTTTTTCAACCCCTGAACCTTCGCAACTTCAGTCCGTTCTGCAGGCTACATCGGTTGAACCGAAAAGCCGTCCCAATCCGTAGATGCCTTCGGGTTCCGAAGCCCCCGCTAAATTCTGGCTCCTGCAGGCATTTGCGAAGGCAGACAACCCCTATCGCGTGCCTGGGACGTTGTGCTGTAAGAATGAATACAGGATCTGAATTCGGCGGTTCGGACAGGGCTGTTCATGCATGCTAGACGTGGCTCTCCGGTGACACTCCAGCAAAAGCCAAGCACAGACAGCCGCTTAACTCCGCGGCAACCCTTGGATCATGTTAGGGATCCTACCCTAAATACGATATATCCTACTATACACGAGGTATATCCTACTATAAATTCTATGGTCTATTCCTGAGCGAAGGTATAGGCCCTTTATGCCAGGTTCCGGTGGCCCTGAGCTGTGGTCAGTACCACACTGCCGTCGTCTGTGCGCTTCGCAGCGACTCCGAGGACTCGGAGAGCTCTCCTTGGGCGGTTGTCAGAATTTCGGGTCCCTTTTTGGGGAGCCTCTGAGTATATAATATATATTGCTATATAATGTATACTATATACTCTCTGCACCCTAAATATTAGGTGCCATATTATAATAGGGACCCCAAAAAGCGACCATAATTTTGACAACTACCCACTTGAAGGTTCTGTATAGCAATAATGAGGGTTCCTTTAAGGGTCCCTCTAAAGGGGTCTATACCCTAACCTGCCAGAACCTACTTTTTTGTGGGGTCCCTATAAATCCAACCTACAAATAAGTAGGGTTTGGTGGGTCTAGGTAGGGATTCTCTAAGGGTATGGGGTTTAGAGCCTATAGGAACATTCTGGTAAAGCCATCGCGGGACATCATGGAGCCCCGACGTGTAGCCGAAGCTCCAAAAAAGGAAAGGGAGGTCCGGGCTTGGGAATAGTTCATAGTTCCGAATATAGTTCACCCCAGCTCCGTTTTCTAAATAGAACCCTACTATAGATCCCTTATAGACCCCGTTAAAGGACCCCTTTAAAGGAACCCTATTCTACATGATTAAGGCCCTTGTATCCCTGGCAGCCCTGGGAGGAAGACAGAATCGCAGGACGTGCCTTGGCTTGCGCCGATGATGGACCAGATTCAATCGGATCCCGGGAGTGCTGCGCGTTCGGAGCAGTGTGGGCATCGAATTCCTTTCTGGGGCTACTATCCGGCTTCGGTGGTGTTTTCGGCATCTAGCCGTCTCTGCCAGTTCCAAGCCGGATCGCTCAAGACTTGCGAAGCGAGTTGCGTTGGGACCCCCCTTCTCCAAATGGGTGGTTGTCAAATTATGGTCCCTCTGCGGGTCCCTATAATATAATACGGCACCTACCCAAAAAGGGACCATAATTTTGACAACTACCCAAATAGCTCCCCAGCACTTTCTGACAGGTGTTTGGACCTTCGGGGGCGGCTGGTATGGCCGGCTCGGGCACAACAATATGGACCCTGGGGTTTGGGCTCCGGTTTTTATTTGTCTTTGGTGTTTGTGGTCACTGCCACACGAAGGCCTCACAGACCGTATGCAGCTCGGTTGAATCCGGAGGAGAACCAGTTTGAGCCCAAGCTCGTGCAGAGTCTGCTGGCCCGCGTGCGCTCGGTACATTGTGGCGCCTATCATACTTGTACCCGGGCTGAACACAGATGTCTCGTAATGCGCTCTTTGAGTCGTCGCTCTTCAATGCCACCGCCAGGATTCCAACACAAGGGCTTTCCGTCTGTCTTTCCTTTTTCCGTTTCCTCTGTCTCTCGGACTGCGAGCCCTGCGCCTTCCTCTCGGATGCTTGGCGCAGGCGCCCTCAGTTACGAGAAGGGGGTCATCAACGACAACGGGGAGCCCGCTGGCGACCTCTGGGTGCGGGAGCTTGGCTTTTCCTTCCCCGAGGGACTTAAGAGGATGGAAGCAATAAAAGGGTTTAAGGCTCATATACCATGTAGGGATTCATAATTAGTTACAGGGGCCCTACTCTGAAGGTTCGGTAGGGGGGGTAACTCTCGAAGCAACTTCAGAGCGCCCCGATTTCAGAAGTTGAGCCCTGAGCCCCAAGCCCGAAGCCTCAAAGCTTCAAGCCCCGCAGGTCTGGGGTCGGGGGCGCTGCATTGGGGAGCACGAGCACGCGAAGGCACCTCAGCCCAGGGGCAACTGGAAGACGTCTTCGGTGAGGGTTCTTGATCTGTGCTGCAAGTTTGCAGTGATTGCCGGCTCCTTGGCAACTTGCGGTGATCCTCACGTTGCCGTTTCAGGTGCCAATCAAATTCATGCAGATCGACGGTCAGCCAAAGGTGACGCTTGTAGTGGCCGCCTTATGCTTCTCCTGCCGTGATATGCTTGGGTTTTGGGACATGAAGAATCTACAACTTCGAGTGAGAGTGGAGATTCAGACATGCCTCTAGTCTGGAGATTGACGCAGATCTTTTGCGGTCTTCGCTGCCGTCATCTTTCCCCAAACCTCAGTCGTAGTTCAGGCGGGCACTGGCTAGAAGGTTGACCCCGAAGGCAGAAAGTCCTACAAGCCTCGTGTAGGTCGATGGCAAGCATCTACGCCCCAAGGGTTGAGGTTCTTGGAGCGGTACAGAAGTCATCGGCACTGGCATGGTACAGTACCGCTCCTAAGGCAACCTCTGATTTGACCAACATGATCGTGACATCCGCAGGACGGCTTCGGGGGGGGCAGGGGGGGGGAAGTGGAAGGGTTTTTCAGCGTCCACGTTCGAGCAGTATCACAGGGTGCGTGTGCTTATACCCCAAGCCCTAAACCTCAACGGACGAAGCCTATCCTAGGCTTTCTCGACACTGTGCAACCAGCAGAGGGAAAAGGAGCGATTTAAGAAGGAACCCTGCGAGCCCATCTACTTGTCGGGTTACGAACTTGTCGTGTAGGAGTCTCATTCGGCTTCCATCTCTAAGACATAGTACAACTTCTACATAGTATTAGTAGAATGTATTACAAAGGTCAAAGCACGGTTTCTTACGGCCCCTTGTACGTTTGCGAAGCCATTGGACGCAAGACCTAAACCCCTAAACCCTCAACCCCTAAAAGAGCTCGACAGGCCTGGTTTATGCCTGGGGCGATAACCGCAGTGGCCAAATCGGTCTCGATGGCGGCCGCAAGGACCCTTCGCAGTTTGGGAGGCATTTTTTCGCTTTAGGGTTTGGGGTTTAGAGTTCAGAGGGCTTCGGGTTCAGGGTTCAGGGTTTAGGGTTTCAAGGGGGAGAGTTGGTTGTGGTTTTTGCAGAGCCACGTGGTAGTTTCATTTTCCATCAGGTGCTGTTAGCTTCTGCGACCTTCTGCGCGTTGTGACGAAGGTTTTGAATTTAGTGGAACAGTTTGTCAGTCATGCGTGCGTTCCGTGTTTCAGCTTACAGCTCCTAGTAGCATGCTCGAGACCAGTGCGGGTTTCAATTAACGCTGGAAGTCAATTGCCAGGAGTCGCCGCAGCCTGAAATCATACGCTGCTTGGCACCATCCACAGCCTGAGAAACTCAAGTTTGCAAGCCCGTTGAGAACTGCCCATTGGCAGTGCTACGGTTGATGATATAAATCCTGCATTACCTTAAGGACCCTAAACTATGGGAATTATGGTATATTCCTCATTATGGGTCATGCAGGATTTATATATCAGCAACAGTAGTGCTGTGGGTTGACCGGCTTATCATCCGACTGACTGTCTGGGGAACACACGACATGTTCCGTCACTGCTCATGTCTTGTTTACAGGCTACTGCACGCGTTGGGTTTCTGCAAATTCAGGTCCTCGTCGTAGTACGAGATGACATGTTCTCTTGGGTATCTAAACAAGGATCCTTATGTAACCCGGTACTGTGGTTCACTAGACATGCTCGTGTGTTATCTGGAAGCCTTATAGAACCCCCACGCAAGCCAGACTGTTCGTATAACCCTTGGAGAACCCATGTGGAACCCTTCTAGAATCTAGGAGAGCTTTGTAAACCTTATGCAGCATCTGCAGATTCTAGTTCCTAGCAGATGTCCAGTCCTTATTCTGCTGAGGAAACTTGCCTCAACCTCCGATCCTGATGTCTGCTGGCCCCGCGCACATGGTGACGTATGGCCGGAACAAGGCTCGCCTGGATTTTGAATGCAGAGCTTGACAGCATCTTAAGGGGAAATGCTTAAGATGCACCACTGCCACGTCTTGCATATTGGCAGAAGCATATGTTCTTGCGGGGAGTGTATGTTGCACTCCTCGCACAACAGATCTGAAGGGACGAGGCGGAAAGTTCCTGGCGTTCGAGGTTTTGGGCATGCTTGAGTTCAGGAAAGAGGCTCGGCTTTTGATGTCAGGAAAGAGGCGGAGCTTTCGTGTTTTGGTGTGGCTCAGCATTTCGGAGCCTCGAGTGCGGCATCAGGTGATGATGGCGTGGGGCAATCAGAGCTGCGGGCGGTTAGGCCTTCAGGAGAAGAAGATGGAGAAGGCGCCCTGTCCTGTTGAGTGAGTGCCTAGTTAAGTCGGACTGCGAAGATGCGCCAGCGAGAAAACATCGCCTCCATCAATTCCAACACCATGAAGCCCAAAACACCCTCGGCCACCGAATCTTCAAGCCTCTTCGATAGCTGGTAAAAGACCCCTCTTGAAGCCTTTCTGAAGATGTGCAAAGTGTACTAAACTTATATACTAAACCCTCAAGTATTCGTGAGCCCAGTGAGCGAGAAGAGCAGGTGATCTTCAAACCCCGGGTCGTCCGGGCCGAGTGGGCTTCGATCGAAGCCATGGGCGGGACGGAGGCGGAGGAAGAAGGAGGCCTCCTTCCTTCTCCCATGGCGGTTGCAGTTTTTGGGGGTGTCGAATCCTACCCCTTGGGGATGAAAGGAGGCTGAGGAAGTAGGTTTCGCCGAGTCTGTTATCGCAGCCCCGCAAGTCCCGTGCTTTGCTCTTCGGCCTTGTCGGCTCCAGAGCAGGAGACAAGAAGAAGGTCACGGCGGCGGCCTTGGCGACGTTGGGTGACGAGTCGATCTCCAAGGCGCCGCCTTGTCTTCATGCAGACACGGGTGGCTTGAAGGAAGAACTTGAAGACCCTCTGGCTCGAAGGGGGCCAGTCGTTCGTTCTTCAGCCCCAGATCATCAAGTAACAGGATGATGCCATGAAAGGGGTTTGGGACAGGCCTTGGACAGCGAGAGCGCCATCAGCGAGGGCTCCTCTCACGCGGAGTTCGGCGAGGTAGGGGTCAGGGTCGAAACCTACAGCTCCACATTCCGGGCAGCCCATCTGGCACACCTAAACCCTAAACCCTTTAAGAAGGGTCGGTGCGGCCTTCGCGACTGCGTTTTTCAGGAAGACGGTGGAGACACCAAAGCCAATCTGCTCCATGCCTTCACATCAGGACGGCGACCGCTTTTTGGCTTTTTGTGGAGTAGAAGCCGAGATCTCTCTTGGTTTCTAAAGCACCGGCCTCCGTACACGAAGGAGCCTAATGTCGAGTGACCAGTGAAGCCCAGAAACCCTGAAAGCTTGACGGCTTGGATGCCCTTCACCACCACAGCGCGAAAAACTCGGACGTGGCTTCCTCGCAAAAGGTGAAATGTCTCAGGGCAATAGGCATACTTATCGCAGGACAGAAAGTCCAACGCTTCTCGACGATGCAGACGCCCGCCCGCAGATCTTGTTGCTGTGTTCGTCATCTTCTCAGAAACTACACGCAGCCTGCTCTCCGGCAGTGGTTGTTGTATTCGCAACGTGGAGGTTTGTTGGTCTCGAGATGTTGCCGCTGAGGGGCTAGGACCAGATTCTAGAAGCTGCGTGCGAGACCCCGGCAGTGCACATCCTAGTTGCAGGGGGGGGCTTCAGCTGCATGGATTCGGACTTCAAAGAGGGAGATGTAGCTCAGGACCATGTTGAAGGAGGAGCCCGACAGCAACAAGATCGGTGGCCAGGGCTGCACGAGAGCAGGGCACCGGATGCAGACTTCCCCGATAACAGTTGCAGTGCTGTGGGTTTTGGGTGCCTTTGGCCCGGAAGCTTGAATGTCCTAGCCAGGCGTGCAGCCATGTCCAACGTGCTAGAGGGGCCATGAACTTCTCAGACGGGTAATAGGGAACCAGATGGAAGCAGCACGTTGGTGAGCAAACTGCGCACGGGTGTCCTTACAAAATGCTTGCAAGCCTAAGTAAATGTAACTCAACACCAAAGCAGACAAGCTGCAGAGCCACGTTTATCACATCGCCCGGTCCTGCTTCTCGAACAAGACATCTTCCCCAGCAAGAGTCTATGGTCTTGTCCTTCTGTCTACAGACTTATCGTTCCGTGGCGACTACATGACCAGTCTCCTGATCACAGTGTATGCGACCCCGGACCAGAACCCAAAAGCCGCACAACGAACTTAACCATTCAAGTCATTGGTTTCGCTTCGGTTCGCATTCGTGTAAGGCAGTCTGCACAAGCACGAGAAGGACGTGGTTGTCATGCTTGCTGCTACCTTTATAATTTCGTGCAGACGCGCCTTTACGGCATGACTCTCCGTTTCATCTAGCAGTCAATCAATCAACCAATCCATCCATCATTGTCTATCTATCTGTCTATCTATCTTTCTATATATCTATCTATGTAGGTATGTATATATATACACACATACACACACACACACACACATACATATTTATCGGAGCCAGCGCGATGCCTCGTCGCTTTCAGCCTGCGGGCCGAAAGTTTGTCTATCACTTCTTCTCATCTCTAGTCCAGAAGCTCGTTGAAGATCTTCGAAGATGTGAGGAATAAAGCTCGGGAGCTCTACATCTTTGGGTGCAGGAGTTGAAGAAGACGGTCGTCAGCGCCGTTCAAGACCTTGTCACGGTGACAGAGAAAGAGAGACGGGTGGCCATGTTCCAGGCCGTCGTTTTGATGCCGAGCTAGTGTTAACTGTCGCTGCCAGGAAGCTGAGACAGGAACCCACATGTCCTGCTGGGTGTTTGGTACTGTTGATGGACAAAATGCTGCATGACCTTAAGGACCCTAAACTAAGGGAACTATGGTATATTCCTTATAACGGGTAATGCAGGATTTTGTCCATCAACAGTAGGGCACAGTGTTTGCTGTCCGTAGTCTTCGCGCAGGGGATTTTTTCCGCAGTGTGAGCTCCGCCTTTCCGGGTGTCGTAGAGGCCCCCAGGCAGCCCACCCCCGACAGCCCGAATTCAGGAAGCAGTAGGAATAGTAACAGCAGTAGTAATTGCAGTAGCAATAGTAAGTTGTAATCCCAGGGTCGCAATAATAGGGGGGGGGGCTCCCCCCGCCCCCCAGCGGGTCCAGGGATTAGGGCGGTCACAATAATGGACAGTGGGGGGTCGCATTAATAGAATGATTGGGGGATTGGGGGGCGGGCTGTGAAGAGAAGAGCTGATGCAGTGATTTGGCTCTTGCGAGGGCACAACATGCAGACAGTGACAGCATGGAGCAAAGAGCAGTGCAGCGGGTGCAGAAAGTAGTTAGCTGTCGCCGCATAGCCAATAAGGAATCCACTCTTTTGGCCTGCTTAAGATTTCTGGAAAAGCAAAGCTTTGGAATCCAACTGCAAGGGGAATTCCTTTTCATGAAGCAGCAAGGACTCATGGACAGCATTGCTTCTAATCCAGGAATCGGCCCCGGAATTTTTTTCATTAATGTGAACCCTTTCATAAATCTGGCCCGGAGTCCTGGGGAGGGCCATTGTAAGGAGGAATCCACTCTTTTGGCCTGCTTAAGATTTTTGGAAGAGCAAAGCTTTGGAATCCAAGTGCAAGGGGAACTCTTTTTCATGAAGCTGCAAGGACTCATGGACAGCATTGCTTCTAATCCAGGAATCGGCCCGGGAATTTTTTTCATTAATGTGAACCCTTTCATAAATCTGGCCCGGAGTCCTGGGGAGGGCCATTGTAAGGGGTAGCTCAGGAAGGAATGAAAATATGCCTTCTTGAATAAGCAATCCAATAAGGAATCCACTCTTTTGGCCTGCTTAAGATTTCTGGAAAAGCAAAGCTTTGGAATCCAACTGCAAGGGGAACTTTTTTTTATGAAGCAGCAAGGACTCACGGACAGCATTGCTTCTAATCAAGGAATCGGCCCGGGAATTGTTTTCATTAATGCGAACCCTTTCATAAATCTGGCCTCTGAGCCCAGTCTTTATTACTTTACTGCAGCTACAGCCTTGTAGAGGCCCAGTTTTTACTGCTTTACTGCAGCTACAGCCTTAGTAGAGGCCCAGTTTTGACTACTGTACTGCAGCTACAGCCTTAGTAGAGGCCCGGTCTTTACTACTCTACTGCAGCTACAGCCTTAGTAGAGGCGCAGCTTTTACTGCTTTACTGCAGCTACAGCCTTAGTAGAGGCCCAGTTTTGACTACTGTACTGCAGCTACAGCCTTAGTAGAGGCCCGGTCTTTACTACTCTACTGCAGCTACAGCCTTAGTAGAGGCGCAGCTTTTACTGCTTTACTGCAGCTACAGCCTTAGTAGAGGCCCAGTTTTGACTACTGTACTGCAGCTACAGCCTTAGTAGAGGCCCGGTCTTTACTACTCTACTGCAGCTACAGCCTTAGTAGAGGCCAATCTTTTACTACATTACTGCCAAACCTAGGCTTTCCAGAAAAGTTTCTTTAAATGTGAACCCTTTTTAGAGGTCGCAAAGCCTACAAACGCCTACGCAATGGAAACTCCTCTTCCGGACCCTACAGGCCCCCAAAAAGTTTCTTTAAATGTGATCCATTTAATAATGCGACCCTGGGATTAGTCGTCATCGTAATAGTAATAGTAATTGTAATAGTAATAATAATAGTAATAGTACTAGTAACAGTAGCAGTAACAATGCTGGTAAAAGTAACATGAACAATAATCGTACTAGTAGTTGGGCTCCCGAGCCAGGAACGCGTCCAGAAGGGAATCGATCACCTCAACGGAGTACTGCAGGGACCTGTTCAGCACGAGCGGGAACGAGATGGACGCTGGATTGCAGATGCTTAAGGTTGGGATTGAGGAGGTGTCAAGCTGCAGGCTTCCAGGATGTGTAGACTTTTGCCACCTATATATATATAAATATAGATATAAGTATAAATATACATTTACATATATATATATATATATATATATATATATATATATATATATGCGCATACACATAATATTTGTATAGTATATATATATATATATATTAGTATATATATATATATATTAGTATATATATATATATATATATATATGCATGTACTGTACCAGAGCCTTTTGCTGCATGTCCTCGCTCGTTTCGTCCGCATTGAGTCTCCGGTGCATTTCTTTCGGCACTGGGAATTTTCGGAAATGCACGTTGTGCCTCGTGAGTCACGCATGCTTCGAGGCTTCGTCTCGCAAGAGCCCTGCGTCACGTGTAACACTCGTGGCCGCCTGGTCTACTCAAGGACTGGATGCAGAGCTGATGCAGAAGCTTCCTGCATACCAGGACAGTCCGCTCTGCTCTAAAGTGGCCATCATTTCAGGGGATGGTGTTCTGGGTCCCAGCTTGAGCCTCCGACCTCTGAATCCTGGATCCGGAGCCAAGCCAAAGCCTTTTGGGAAGGAGCTTTTCTCGGTGCTCCAGCTTCAGGCAGGGTCTGCCTGCTGAAGCATCGGAAGCAGCAAAGCTGCACAGGGACATAGGCGGATCAGCTCGATGTTTGAAGCCATTAAAGTGGAAGAGACTTCATCCGGCTTGGACGCAGTACCCCAGCCATGAAGCCTCAAAACAGCGGGGTTTCTTATCCGCTGCCAGAGCCAGAGCCATGCGTGTCTGACTCGCCTCGGAAGCCGGAGATGTCGGACGCAGCCCTGCTGCCGGGAAAGCCAGCAGGGCCACGACCGGGCCCAGGTGCTTTGACGGCTGATTCGTCCACGGCAACCCATGGGTACGCTTCATCAGCAGTGCCGCCGGAGAAGCCGCGCCAAGTCACTTTCTCAAAGCGTGAGTGCGAGATCCAGGAATATGTGGCCGAACCAAGTGGTGCGCAGCGCCGCAGGCTACTTCTGGAAGAAGCCAAGAAGATCTGGCCACGAACTTCCTCGCCGCCAGATGCTGGGAACTGTAAGCACTTGCGATCAAAGTCTCCTCAGGCCGCAAAGCTTTGCTCCAGTGTCGGTAAGGATGGGCTTGATTAATCTCTAGCCTCAGCTCCGCTGTTTTGGCAGCGATGTCGAGGCCAAAACTGGAATCCGATCCTTTTCGGTTCGAGCGTAGGCTTTATGAAGTTTTGCACCGACTTGCCCCGAGATGGAGGTGGAGTCGGACTGTCTTCTCTGATGGTGGCCAATGCGCGACCCTGTCTCGGATTTGGAGCAAGTGTTAACGATTGTCGTGTTTCCGTCCGGCTGGACCGTTTCAAGTGCTCAGTAGTTCGGCTGTCGGAGTGATGTACACTACTTGTGATGACTTGTGCTGCAGCCGCCCTGAACGCTTATCTACGTGTCTATCGAGTCTTCTACTTGTACTTGCATTGAAGTGCCCCAGCTCTTGTGTTGCATTGGAGCTGCATAGGCATAGTTGTAGTATTGAGTTGATGCAGCAGCCTGCTGAGGCTGCAAGACAAAATAGGTCGGAAGGCTGCGGCTTTCCGCAATCTTCTCGTCTCGTTTCACCTCTTCCTTTCTATTAATTCCCAATTCCGTCCATGTGCCGCGCTCTGACTCTTACCCAGCAGACCGCAGCACGTCACCTCCGTTGCGAGCTTGCCCCAAGCCAGATCGGCGGATCTGTAAGCATGATATTGAGTGATTGCTAAGTCCGACCGTTACAATCCCAGGAATGATCAGGAATGTGTTTGCTGTAGGGGAAGCTTGCGACTGTATATAGTTGCAAATAGACGCTGCTCGGAGAGCTTTCGTCTATGCAGGTGGCAACCAGGAGATCGCAGGTCGTGTCCTGCTTTCTCGATCCGACTTGTGTGCTTTTCTCATTCCGAAATGAGGGGTGCCTTGTTCTGGAGTCCGTATAGTAAGGATACTACGTCTTAGTTAGGGTACTTTATTCGATTCGGAATCTCCCCATTTTGTTGCATTGCACGAACTTTGCCTCAGACGGTCGAAGTCGAAAAGGAGCCTTTCGCTGTCTCTCTCTGTTGCTGATCTGGAAGGGAGTCGTGGGATGCAAGGAAACTTAAATCATCTTAGGATCCCTGCTATGATTTGAGGTATCTTCCTCAATTAAGGGCTCTTGGTGTCTCTGGGTGCTAGTTCTGTTCAGAGGTGAGCTACCTGGCGACCTTGTCCATGACAATCAAGGACGAGGAAGCCTCAGAGGCTTGGGCTGTTCTCGTCCCGAAACCCCAAACCCGAAAGCCCTGAAAACTGGAGGGAGTCGTCCGGATCTTCGGGACAGTGGCAGGTCTTTGTGAAGGTGGTCTGTGCTATCTTCGCCGATCTTCATGACGCACGGATTCGGAACCTGTGCCCTGTCTGCTGACGGCTTTCAAGCCAGTTGCGGTTCGTTGCAGGGAGGCCTCTTCAGGCAGAGAGTTGTTGTCAGTGAGTTTCTGAGCAAAGCAGCCCGAAGCTGTTGAATACTGGGGTTCGCGAAGTAGAGCAGGTTTCGGGCTTAGCCGTTTAGGCATCGGCTCTTTAACTCCTGGGGTTTTCTTGCATCTTGAAGTAGTGGTGTAGTGGCCTGCACAAGAGGTTCGTGCTGCTGATGCAGATGATGGTTTTCAAGGAGCTCGAACAGGCCCTGGGGTTCTGAAGGGTTTCAGCGACCATAGACAGAGGGGAAACACCGGCCATGGGTGATTGAAATGAGAGGGTCTTAGGTGCAAGAGAGCGAGTAACTTGGATTCCCAGAGCACAAATCTACCCCTCCCAATCACTCCGTGGCAGGGTGATTTGTTGATAGACAAAATCCTGCATTTGACACCCATTCCTGTAGTGTAGCATACTTGAGCGTGCCAAGGTTTTGTGCATGACATGACTTCGCCGAGACGGCTTCAAAAAGCTGCCATCTTGCGTCTGCAGGCACAAGAACTAAACCTTCGATGCCAGCCCCGACCCCGTGCTGCCTTATGGAGAAGCAACTTCAGGAAGCTTGTTGCCTCCTGTTTCCTTGAACTGTGCCTTCAAATTCTCATCGAGGGGCGCTTTCCCCGCTTTCATTCCCGGACCCAAACGGCAGCTGTGGCGCAGTCGAAGCACATCGACGACGTTTTCCTGCCTGCAAGCGACTTCCATGCAAGTGCTGTTGCAGCTTCGGGGTTCAAAGACCCCAGGCCTCGGTTTCGAAGGGCTCAGCAGCTTGCGGACACTAGTGCGCGGGTGTGCGCGGTGTGTTTCAAGTTGTTTGTTCTCGACAACGTAGGAACGCAGCGTGCAAAGATTAGGCACGCACCAGTCCCTCCTAGACGTATACTTTTCCATTTCTTGCAACGTGCTCTTGGGCCTCCTGCTGCCAATACCACCCCCTTCACAACATCTACTGAAGCGGCCATTTGGGCACTCCCGCCGGGGGGGGGGGGGGGTTCCACAACTTCGGCCATGCTGGCGTTCGATAGAAATTCGCACTGCCACTGTCTGTGAAGCATAGCGGCGGCCGATGAGTTCTTACGAGGGGCCCCTAGTAAGAGACCTTGCAACACTCTGTCTTGGAGGGTTCAGACACTACGGAGCAGACCCCCCTCCCCCACTGCGCCATTCCAAGAGGTGGCCAACCCTACAGCGTAATGCAGGAGGCGGAGTTCAAGCATGGTGCGAGCATGCCCAAACCACACACGACATACTGCAGAGGGAATTTTGAACTTTCTGGCAAAAGACGAACTGTCACAAGCTTTGATGCTTGTGCGACCATGCCCACATCGCTTCTATTGACAGCGATGTTGCCTCTGTGCGCAACATAGTGCGCAACAACGTGCTGATGGCGATGGTGATGAAGATGTAGAACAGATGACGGTGTTTATGATGATGATGATGATGATGAAGTTCCTTACTGACACGATAAGAGCAGAGTGAAGTCGTGCCCAACTTATAATAGTTTATTGTAGGGTCTATGCGCATGCACCCTTTAATGAGTAATGTAGCCACTGTACTTTCCGTCACCGTCATAGTGTAACCAACTGTCGAAAGCCGGAGTCTTCCCAGGCCGTACCTTCAAGCTCTTCTCCTTCTTCGCTTTGCATGAGGCCCCCTCTTCTGGAGATCGCTTTTTGTTTTCTTTTTCTCCCAGGGTGAGGTTGAGATCCTGCTGAAGTTCTTTGCAGTCGGAACTCGAGACAGTTCATATCGCACTGCAGACCGCCTGGGGATTCCGGGCAGTTGATCCGATGCTGACTCTGTTGTATCATGCTGTATCATGCTATTTTATATTATGTCACTATGTTTTATTATGTAATCTCGAGCCCGAAGCTTAGAAGCGCCTCCGAAGGCCGCAGCTTCAAACCCCAGGGCCCAAACAAAACGAAGCCAGGTGCACTTCGATTCGGTCGTCCAGCCGTTGATGGACCCGCTCGTGTGGGATGGGTCTTTGATGTGTTTCCGATCGGTCGCAGGATCTCATGGGGATGCGGAGGCGCTCTAGAGTCTAGCTCTGGAGTAGCTGTTGTTTCAGCCTGCACCTTCAGGGTCTCGCCCCGGCTCTAGTTTCAAGCTTCCCCGGAAGGACTGCCATCGAATGGACGAACAGAACCAGCCCCTGACCTTCATGGGACTGGTCACATACAAGACGCCCCTTGGCCTGAGCTGAATCCTGCTTCTCACCAACACTCCGCAGGAGAAGAGACACAAGCAACAACAGCGAGAAGCAGCGCATGGCATGGCAGCAGCACCAGCAGCACCCGCGACTGTGGCAGTCGGGGACCCTTAATATTCAGACTTATCAAAATCCAATACGATTGTGGGTATAAGGCCATGGAGGGGTGCCACGTATGCAGCCATGTGGCTGTGCAAGTGATGTCTTAGCTTGTCAAACCGGTGCGCACGGTGTGTGCGTACAGTGCTTCTGCTGCGAACGTGCGGGTGCACGTGTGTATACGTGCAGTGCGCGCGTGTATACGTGCAGCGCGCGCGGGGCGTGCGTACAGTGTGCGCGCGCGCGCGCGGGGCGTGCGTACAGTGTGCGCGCGCGCGGGGCGTGCAGTGCGTACAGTGTGCGCGCGCGTGTACAGCATACGCAGATGCTTCAACTTCAGAGTGTTCGTTCACGAAGCTCTTGTGTTGCGTGAGAGTTTGAGGCACTGCTCCATGACACGCGGGAATATGTGGCTCCACTGACGACGACTAACCATACCATGATAAATTGTTTGATACAATGTACATTCTGTAGTATAGCTGTATAGCTATATGGTATATGATACATGATGTATGATATATGATCTATGATATATGATCTATGATCTATGATATATGATATATGATATAATATATGTTAGTTAATATTATATATGATTCATATGTGGTATATATCTGTAAGTATGGAGAAGCTGGTTCACTGGGTCATGTCTTTGTAAATCATGACTCATAACTCACAACCCGTCGATCAGTGCTTCATGAACCTCAGTGAATGTTTCACCGACTAGGCGCCAAGCTCTTGAAGACTCTCGACTGTTGACCCTTCAGCCCCGTTCAGTCGACTGTAATCACCATGAGTTAACTGAGTCAACATAGATTTCTCCCCTCGACACAATGCACGCCCCTCAGAGGCGTGAACTGCTGTCCACGATAATACCTTGAATGACCTAGACCCTGAACAATCACTCTCGACTCTCGACCCTGTCGACTCGGAGACATGGACTCTTATGCCACGGCCGTGGGCGGCTGGCATTTAATCCTGTTTCCTGGTTGCCATGGCGAGCGATGGACGATGATGAACCTGGGAACGAAGATCGTGCCAGGGCTCGCCGGTTGACAGGCAAGTTCCTTGCCACCAGCCACTTGTCTCGTCTGAGATTCTAGTCTCGTTGTGTGAGTCAACTGAGTTGAGTTAAGCATACATGCCATAGGGTCAGTTTAGGCAAGAAGGATATCGTTCATGCTTGCTGGATGCATCTGTCGTCCTTCATTCTTCATGTAGGATCTACGCGCGACATCTGACAAACGTGTTCCCTACCGGGAGGGAAACGCAAGGTCGTCGTCTTCGTGCTGTCCAGCGCCATGAAGCAACGGCAACTAGTCGATACAGGACTTGCGTGGTGAGAGTGAGAGTGAGAGCTATCAATAGTCAAGAGTCATGCGCACTGACGTGCCGAAGAGTCGGGGAGTAGTGAAGAGAAAAGAGTCATAGAGTAGCAATCTGAGAATCGATGCTAGCTACTAGTTACTATGTAGATTTAGTTAGTTGTTGGATGTGGAGTCTGCTGGACGTGGCAGCAGCAAACACCGGACCCCAGGGCCCAAACCGTAGGCCCTAAACCCCAGTGCCCAAACCGACCCTAAACGGGGGGGGGGGGGGGGGGGGGGGGGGGGGGGGGGGGGGGGGGGGGGGGGGGGGGGGGGGGGGGGGGGGGGGGGGGGGGGGGGGGGGGGGGGGGGGGGAGAGGGAGGGAGGGAGGGAGAGAGGGAGGGCGAGAGGGAGAGAGAAAGAGAGGAGAGAGAGAGAGAGAGAGAGTGAGAGTGAGAGTGAGAGTGAGTGAGAGTGAGAGTGAGAGTGAGAGTGAGAGTGAGAGTGAGAGTGAGAGTGAGAGTGAGAGTGAGAGTGAGAGTGAGAGTGAGAGTGAGAGTGAGCGTGAGCGTGAGCGTGAGAGTGAGAGTGAGAGTGAGAGTGAGAGAGAGAGTGAGAGCCTTGCAAACGTAAACCTAAAAACTAAAAACTATACAAACTATGCATTGATGGTTCTTCCTAATATGACAGATCTCACCAGACCGAATGACAGGAGATTCGTGGAGCAGCATGCTGTTCGGAGGCAAGACGAATCGGTAGCCCTCGGAGCTCAAACCAACAGGAGGCGAACAACGGGTGTTACTGGAAGAGGGCAGTGGAAGACATGGACGGTCGAGATGATGTTGCGTGCCTCGACACTCATCTGCAAGTGCAGTGTTTCCGTTTCCTCAAGTGACTGAATCGATTCACGTGATGCTCATGTTCGGCTGCTCGCAGCATGAGAGACTCATGGGCTGTCGTGACGTGCATCGGCTTCTCTGACATCAGGTTCGGCCGACAGATCAGTGTCTCTGCGGCTGCCTCGAAGATTCGTGTACCGGCCATGCAGCAGAAGTCTCCGACCATGTTCAGTCTGAACAGTTTGGCTTTCTGGCTACAAGCGAGCACAACACACGTGGGACGAGCTGCTCGGCTAGTTATGGCCAGTTATGCTACTTACGTGTTGGTTGGGAAATGGTAGGATTTGAGACGTGATGTGCCTAAGACTACTTGTGGAAAAGTTGGACATTCCACGTCACAACACGGTGCATGCATCAGCGTGGGATGCTGGGGGCTTCAAGCGTGTTGTGATGTGTCATAGTTATCGTTTGTCCACTTGAGTCTGGTTGCTGGGTTGCCGAAGATTCATTGTCACTGAAGATTCAAGATCAGGAGCCCCGACACAGCTGCATCTCGTGCTTTCTGCTCGATTGAGTTGTTTCGTAGCAGTGGCATCAACAGCACGCCTTTGCTAGATTCCTAGAGTCTGCCTTTCCAATCGAACATATGGCGTCCCACCGACAGCCGCACCCGAAGCCGGAGTCTTCAGTTGTGGCAACGCATGCCGGCTCGCGTCCTGACAAGAAGACTACGATGATTTGGCAGAGCGGCGCTAGCCCCGAGGCAAAGGCCAAGAGCTTTGTCACACCACCGACTCGTAAGAGTAAGAAGTTGGACAGCCCGGACCCATGCATGACTACACCGCCGGCACCATCGAAAAGGCCACGCAAGTCCACTTCAATACTGGGCGGCGCCGACGTGGAAGAGATCCCCAACCTCACGGCTTGGAGGACTGCCGGCCGAGGCATGATTGCCGAAGAGGAGTTGAGTGAGATCGACAACTTCGCCTTTCAGCGCAGGGGTGCGAGTGCTGCGGCGGAGCACGGGGCAGCTGCTGAAATGATGGTGGCTACCCACGTGGTCTTCGAGAGCGACAGCAGCCCTGATCCGATGAATCCGATGAATGATGAGGCGGCCCTCTTAAACCTGTAGCGGACAGTACGAGTCAAGCCAGCGCTAAGTTGGCTACAGATTCCACAGATCCTATAGATACCGACAGATACTATAGATTCACTATATACTATAGACTATAGATTTATAGTTTACAATATTTATAGTTGATATGTTATACTTGATACGTATGGGATTCACTGTCGGATTCACATATATGAGAGGTTCCGTATGTTGTAGCTGTAACTATAATATAACACAAATTCACAAATTATAACTTTGTTTGTTTTGTTTAATTTTGTTTCTTCATGCCTTGAGTCACTTGAGTCTTTAACGGTAAACGGTAAAGTTACTTTAAAGTTTTAAAGAATTCTTCCGCCCCTTTCACCAACGCCAGTCCTGATTCTTTAGTTGGGGATGGGGGGTAGGGTTTTGGTTTTGGTCTTGGGTAGGCCGGTAGGTAGGGTAGGGCAGGGAGGAGGAGGGGGAGAGGCAAACGGCAAACAAAGAATGGAGGGAGGGGAGGCGGGGGCATGGGGGGAGGGTGTAGTAAAGTAGCTTCATTTGTAGGATTGACCCCACAACCCCACACTATATTTACTAGGACCCATACTTACTTACTTACAATATGTTCATTTCGATGACCGTGGAGGACCCAGCTGGGCGGCAACATGAGCCGTGAGCGCGGTGGACGAAGTGATGGTGGAAGGACTTCACGTGACTGAAGGGTTCGCGCTTGGCCCAATGCTAGCTTTGAAGTTTCAACTGTCAGTGTGTCAAGTTGCCCGCTGGGTGCGGCGGCCCAGGCACTAGACAAAGTTGGAAAACACATCAGTCTAAGACTAAGACTAACAATGTAAGGCATGACAACACACATAACTGCGAGGATCATTGTTTCGGTGCAGGGTCTGTGATATGTACAATCCGGTGCGACTGTGTAACGCACCATCCATCACTCGGTAGCAAGTTTGGGGAGAGGCCTCAAGTGCTGAAAGGAAAAGACTGGATTTGACCGCAAGGGGGGTTATACTCAGGTACATCGCTGCTGTGGTAAGCTATGCGATGCACACTAGTGTAAAAATCGTATCGTAACTGTCATACTGCCATAGTTTGTTTTGCAGTGTGAGACAACTTGAACCGTCAGTCAAGCATGTCACAATCATCCATTCCCGTGCTGTGGTTGGTTGGTAAGTAGTAAGTAGGTAAGTTGGGCGCTTGAAGTTGCTTGGGACCGCTGACTAGACTGTTCGCTGCCCCAAGGTTCGTTGCGCTATCGCAGAGTTGTACACGCGCTGTTTGGCCGCTGGCTGCCAGAAGGTTCAGCAGGAGAGCCTGGGGATGTGAAGCGGACGGGTACTGATGTGGCGGTTTGCTTGCGGTGAGTCGAGCCTGGAGACCCAAGCCAACACAACTGCAGCAACAATTCTGGTGCTGAGAATACAACCAGCCCATGAGCCAACGTGAGCCTTCAACTCATCAACCATAGATTCGAGCACGGGGACAGCAAAGGGTTCGCTCGCTATACGTCACCCCGTCATAAAGTAAAGCAACCAATAGTAAACAGTGCCAACAACCACTGCAACTGTAACATAATAGAATGCAATTCAGCGACGTCCTCAAAGCCCAGCAGGGAATCGCT